ATACAAATATATATATATATATAGTATCTTTATTCGCCTCATTTCTTATAGATAATTTGACGAAATCCAGTTTGCTTTTTAGAAAGGAATCAATAAATTGCCACAAACTTTAACATTCCACTAAAACTTTGGTTTATTTAAGTACCGGACAAACTTGTCGGCAACTGGATCAAGTTGTACAGTATTGTAGAATATAAAATTGGACCAGTATAAACAGATATCACTGTTATAAGTTAGAAAATGATTATTTTCAATTGTTTAAAGTGGCTGGCGCATTTCTACTGCAGAAAAACATGTATGTTATCAGAATTAAAAATTTTAAGCCAAGAAAAACGACAATATATACCAAATTATTAATCAGAAAAAGATTTAAAGGATACCGTTGTGGATTGGGCTTTAACATCTTTGCATGGAGGGTCACTTGAAATTACGTTATACAGTTCCTTTAACCCTATAAAGCTAGGCTTGGGGGTCTGAATCTATGTATAGTCTGAGGGGCGTCCCACGCCCCCCCCCCTCCCTTCCGATTAAAAGGCCTTAGAGAATAGGTATAGGGTTGAACGGCATGTTCGTAGCCCAATTTTTCAAGGTCAGCTCATAAAAAAATAGATTAATAACTGTAATAGTTTTGGTGCATAGGGAGGGTTGAAAAAAATGTCATACAAATGGTGAACAAATGTTTCCACATTCATTTTTCAAGGGCTTTTTAAAATTATAGTTTTTAGATCTGTAGCTTTAGTCACAAAAAAGTCAAGCGTCAAACGCCCCCTGTTAAGGGTTAAGATGAAAGTCCGGTATAAAAACATAGCGGAACCATAATTCTCCGGTAGGTTGGTTTATATTTGTTTATCTCATGTAAATATTTACTTTTCTACTCTACCACTGTTTTCCTCCAAATTGTAAATACAGCACATACAGGGTTACCCACATAGGATGAGACTTCAGAGACGATTCTACAGATTTTTTAGTCCGTTTTCTTGCATTCAGGGTTCCTTGTAGGCCAAAACTAGCTTAATTCTATGCTTGATCATTTTGTAAACAATCAAAATACGCAATTGAATGCAGAAACCAAAAATAAAACTTCAGTCTTTAAATCGACATTTTTAAAGAGTTTTGGGGCATCTTTACAGTTTAATCTTTTGTGGGTAACCATTTAGATCCAGACTGCTATGAATGTTTTGCTTTGAAGTGTCGCATCGCCTTTTTGCCTTTTATTTTATCTCACTAACTCACATTTATTTTTTTATATTTTTAACGCTAAACATATGTTCATTTTAAAGCTGTAAAGCACTTCTCTTAGCTTTGCTTTTAAATAAGTTGTTGGCAAACTTCTCATCTACTTCTACTTGAGAGCTTCCAACATTTAAATCACATCCAGAAAAGTCTATATAATGAAACAAGACATTCATACATAAGTTGCGTATATCCGGCGAAACGACTGGACCTAATGGGCTGAAAGTTTGTGTGGACACTCATGGGTAGCCGGGGGTGTTATAGGCTAAAAAATTCGAAAACATTTTCTTTTGAAATTTTATTTAGTATTTTTTTCAAAAGGCTTTTTTCAAATTTTTTTCCACGGACAACGCGCGCCGGGCCCTTCAGCTAGTATATATATAATATAGAAACTTCGTGTTTATAAATGCGCAAATCACTTTTGTTGAGATAACCCTCAATTAAAAATAATTAGTTTTTCATTTACATTTACTGTTTAAAATCAGGGATTACTGAAGTTTTTTGAAATACATTTTTTAAATCTATGGCAACCTAGAAAGTTTTAGACCTGAAAACTCTTGAAATACGGATTGATCTGAAGATTTTCATATTTGTGACTAGTAGTTAAGATCTAGTGGAAAGGAGTTTTCCACAAACTCTATATTTTTAAAGCTTTGATATTTCAAGCTCTGCATTCTGTTTGGTAAAATAATCTAATTTTTAAATATCAAATGAGTACACCATCAGGTTGCAAAGATATAGAGATTAGAAAATTTGTGTTTTTGGCAAAAACAATTATTTTGAAAATTTATCCTTAAAAGAAGTGTACTCCAGCAAACCCTGGCTGGAAGAAATAAAGCATAATAATAAGATATTTACATTAGTCACTACACTCACATCTTTTAAGAGACACCCTGTATCTGATTTTTCACCCTTTTAATCAAATAATCGTAAAGAAAAGCTTATTTCAAAACCTAAGTTGACGCTAAATGTAAACAACAATATAACACTTTATTATAGGGTAATAATAATTTATATAATATATATATATATAAGAAAATTTGAAAACATGATTTGAAGTTTATTGTATACATGTTTATATATGTAGATATACAAATATATATATATATGTATATATATATATATATAGCTGCATCGGATATTGTAGCAGGTTGGAAAATTAATAGGTTCAAGGTATTAAAAATCTTATAGAGGAAGAGAGAAAGAATTTTTTTGCAAAAAACATTGTAGTTTGCAAACAAGCTAAAAAAATTTAATTCATTGCTTATATGTACGACATTTTGAACACATTTTAAAGCTGTCCAATCTATTTAGCATGCACTTCCTTGATGTTTGAAGACTGCAGTTGATCATTTTGCATTTGATATTCAGTTGTTTACTAACATAGTCTTGTCCCAAGAGAACTTTCATGAAATGTGAAAACTCAGCAATCCAAAAATATGATTCCAAATCTATAAAATAATTAAATAATTACCATCAACTAGAGTACATCTTCGAACCCCTGGACCAGACATCATCTCTTCTAGAAAAAAAATCAGGTAAAACAATCTTCTCTAGAATAAAAAAATTATAATTTTCCGTTTTATTTTTTAAATCTATCATTTATTTTAATCACTTGCCTTTATCTCCGCAACCGGATGGTGTAACCATGTAAACCTTTAATATTTCAATTTTCCAATGCCTTTATCTCCGCAACCGGATGGTGTACTTAAATGAGTTTGGTTTCTGATCCTCCAGGATGTATTTCGAGGCTACCCAGGGTTGCAGAGGCTACCGGCCTCTCTTACCCAGACACTACTGACTTGTTGCTGGAGGATTTCAGGTGAGGCTGGGCAGCATCCTCATCCAGGGGTACTCATCCTCATCCTCATCCTCATCCTCATCCAGGGTTACTCATCCTCATCCTCATTCTTATCAAGGAGTACTCATCCTCATCTCCATCCACGGGTATACTCATCCTTATCCTGGTCCTCATTCAGGGGTTCTCATCCTCATCTTCATTCAGGGGTACTCATCCTCATCCTCATCAAGGAGGTACTCATCCTCATCCTCATCCAGAGGTCCTCATCATTATCCTCATCCAGGGGTACTTATCATCATCCTCATTGAAGGGTTCTCTCATCCTTATCCTCATCCTCATCCAGGGGTATTCATCCTCAATCCTCAATCCTTATCCTCATCCTAATTCAGGGGTACTCATCCTCATCCTCATCCAGGGGTACTCATCCTCATCTTCATTCATGGGTACTCATCCTTATCCTTATCCAGGGTACTCACCCGCATCTCAATGAGTACATTTTTGGATAGAACAAGAAGCGTGAAATCTGAGTTGCTGAATGAATCCCGATGTATTTAGATCCATGATATTATTTTGTAAAATTTATACTAATTCTAATTTCCAATCGCATACAATTTATAAGGAATCAGCTTTATGTAATAAAAAACAATTTTGCAAAACCGGGTTTTTCTAAAGAGTTTCAATATTGTAATAAATAAAAGTTAAACAAATCAGAAAACGATGTGTTTAAAGATAGTCTTTAACAAGACAGACATAGCTAAATTTCTCCTTTTTTATAAATTGTCTTTTTCTTTCTTATGTAAGGTTTTGTGAGGTAAAAACTCAATTTTTCTTTGGTAAAATATTAACTTTTCAATCTTCTAGTGTCAGGTACAAAATATCGTCTTCAATTGTGGTATAAGTGTCGTCTTTTGTTGAACTATAACCAGGGACATTAAGGTTAGCAAAGAGGAAAGGTAGAATGATCTAGCTAACTTCACAATTATGCATCACTTGTAGTACTGACTTTGAAGTGCCGAAAAGTATTTCCGCTTTTTACGAACTTATTTCCGCTTATACTTAAGATCTGAAATGTTCCTTCGTTTTTTAAGAATACTAGGCTTTTAGGGCACTACGCACCCATATTCTTTTTAAAACTTTTTATTGTGGGTCTATCTTTGAGCATCTTCTCTTTGTACAATATAAACCAATAACAAAAAAAGTTCGCGGATTTAATAATATGTTCTCGTGGATTTTAAGATTTTACAAAAATCAAAAATTTTGAAGACAGATTTTTGTAATTCTGAGCATTCATAAATCTTCCTTAGGGTCCCGTGAGCTGCCTTAAAAAGTTAAGCTTGATTTGTTCACCCGTCTGTACGTTTATTGGATACAAACAAACAAAACAATTGCAATATACTCCGTTAGACTTTAGCTAGATGTCTGGGGCACCAAGAAAGTATAAACGAGTTGTTAAGGTAAGATTAAGGCGTTGCAACACTTTAAAGTCTAAAAATGTGATGACTAAGTTTCAGAGTTGTCTTAATCTCAGTGGTGTCGTAACACCATGGTTTTATTTTACATTACTATAAACTCAATCATAATTTATGCAGCCCTAGACATTACTGCAGTTAACAAGGAAGGAGTAATTGGCAAAATGCTGATAGATTTGTACATGAAATTTGTACATTTGAGATCACTGCACTGTACTCACCTTTAAGATATGATTTTAGAACAGGACCGTTAAGAATTTACCACCGTACTTATACAATAAATCTGAACTTACTTAGAGAAAAATAGATCAGAAATAAACTTTTTTAATCAGAGATACTTTTTAAAAATTTGGTTTTGGAAGGTGGAAATACAGGCTGTGGTGTTTGTGTTACCTGCATTATTAGTATAATTCTCTGGAGAAATTAACTGGTTGATCCTAGCAAAATATTCATTATCATAATTTACAGTTTATTAACAAGCAACAGATTATTCGAACATAAAAAAATAATTTTAAAAAATAATTAAAAACTGTTTCTTTTAAAGAAAACCTCTTTTCAATATATTTCACGGATTTAGATATAATTTCAGCAAAATTTGTCAAAATTTCTGTTTCTAACACTGACAAATTCAACAATTTAGTTTTAAACATATTATAAACTTCTATTATTATATCATGACGTTCAGAGGCGGCTCATGAGGGGGGGATGGAAGGACGCCCCCCCCCTGGAAAAATTGAATTTAGCGCCACTTTTCGAACTCAAAATTGTTCGAGATAAAAATAAAGATAAAACAAAGTTTAGAATTCATAATATTAACAAAATAAAAATTTGTTTACCGTTCTTCAACATCCTTGAGTTCTGCCAATTCTGATTCTGATTCCGTATCCCAGTCCCACGGATAGGTTGGGGTTAGAACCCTAGATAAAAGATTAAATTGACAATATAGCTCGTCTGCTTTAAAGGTGCTCAAATATAAACGCTATTACCAGTTTTTCTTTTTAAAAAGATGGATCTAAAAAAAAAAATCAAAAAGATCGATTTTTTAATGTAAAAAATTGGGCCTGATCAATTCAATAGTGTTGATGTTTGTTGGATACAAACATACTGACACCTTTCCAAAGGAAGTGGTTGGTCTATGGACAATGGACATAGTTATTTTGTTCAACTAATTACTTTCCTAGACTGTTATTATATTTAATCAGCAGGTTTAGTATAGAGAAATATTTTTCAAATTAACACACTATAGTTGAAAAATAAGATGTTTCCTTTTTTAACAAACCTTCAATAAAAATATTTTGATTGCAATCAGTAAAGAATTTCCCCTTGAAATCACTGTAGATAAAGATATTTCATCAAAATTATAAGTATGTTTTATCGAAAAGAAATTCTTTATTGCAACGGCTTTAATACCATGTTTTAGAACATTTGTATGCACTTTGTTTTTCGTCTCGATGTTTCTTCCTCTTTTCTATTTCTTGACTGACGTTTCTGGTGAAGTACGAACATAGTACAAATGTTAAATAAAAAATGCGCGATGTCTGCTCAACTCAGCATACAAAAAACTTTAGACATTATAGGCCGGCGAATGCAAAAATTTAGTTGTTTTCGCTAAATGTGAGAGTATCAATTTGTAACCTAGTTTTATTGCTTTAAATCCCTAAATATCCGTAATGGTATGCAACTACGTATATTTGAAAATTACAAAAAATCGAAGCAAGCTGAGGGTTTTGGTGTCTTAAAAGGAATTTGACGTAATTTCAAATGCCCTTCCATTTTAAGAATGCACATTGCACATATATCATTTACAACAGTATCCTTGACTTTTCAAACATAGAATACGTAGTACGTATTACATACATATTGAAAATGAAAAAATATCGTCGTTTTTATCTGAAAATGTGTTGAATTCTGGCAATTTTTGTCAAAGTCTATGTACCATAAATCCGTAACTCATTTTTAAAGAGATCCCGGAATTGAAAGAAACCAATTTTCGAGTAGAAAAATGAGGATATCATTGATCGGACAGATGTTTTAATGGTACTATATACTATGAATCGGAGGGTCGCAATTTAAATTACTTTGACAGTCCAGCGTTTTTGGGACACCATGTATGCAGTATAAGATATTACTGAAGATATATGTTTTTGGGACACCATGTATGGAGTATAAGATATTACTGAAGATTTTTAAACATATATGCTTTAGCTGTAGTATTATATTACCTTTTATTATTTGATATATTTGGAGAAAGATGGAAGGAAGGTTTAGTGTTGCTGCTGCCTCCAGATTTAATATCGTATCTAGAAATTATGTACAGTAACGGTCAAATCCCAAAGGATGACGATTTTAGGAAGACAAAAAACTTTTTAAACCTAGATTAAAAGGAAATATTGAGTCTTCTTTACTATGAGATATTAAAAAGGGGGTAAACAGTATTACAGGAATTAATCTAGAAAGGATAAGTAATTATCCTCCCTATTTTTTTAAAGGATAAGTAATTATCCTCCCTATTTTTTTAAAGGATAAGTAATTATCCTCCCTATTTTTGGAATGATAAGTAATTATCCTCCCTATTTTTGGAATGATAAGTAATTATCCTCCCTATTTTTGGAATGATAAGTAATTATCCTCCCTATTTTCAGGAATTATAAGTAATTATCCTTCCTATTTTCAGGGAGGATAAGTAAAATATTCTCCCTATTTTCATGGAAGATAAGTAATTATTCTCCATATTTTCAGGGAGGATAAGTAATTATCCTTCCTATTTTCAGGGAGGATAAGTAATTATCCTTCCTATTTTCAGGGAGGATAAGTAATTATCCTTCCTATTTTCAGGGAGGATAAGTAATTATCCTCCCTATTTTCAGGGAGGATAAGTAATTATCCTTCCTATTTTCAGGGAGGATAAGTAATTATCCTTCCTATTTTCAGGGAGGATAAGTAATTATCCTTCCTATTTTCAGGGAGGATAAGTAATTATCCTTCCTATTTTCAGGGAGGATAAGTAATTATCCTCCCTATTTTCAGGGAGGATAAGTAATTATCCTTCCTATTTTCAGGGAGGATATGTAATTACCCTTCATAATTATTTATCCTCGCTCTAAAATTCAAGTTACTTTACAAAAAAAATAAGGTTATTAATTTCGTTGAACGGGAGATTAAAATTTTACTTAACCACCGGGTCCCTCGGACCAATTTTGCTTTTAGAAGCTCCCTTGCCTCGCACGCTTATGATATTTTGTAGAAAAAATTGGTTTTGGAAACCATTAGTAAAATAAGAAAATAATTATAAGTACCCACCTTGACACCCTTTCGTCTATATTGCTGTACATATAAAACTGAGAATCCTAAATAAAGATGTTGTATAGTTTACAAAAACAAAATAATAGGCCACATCACTGCAAAAATAATAGGCCATATCACTGTAAAAATAATAGGCCAAATCACTGTAAAAATAATAGGCCACATCACTGTAAAAATAATAGGCCACATCACTGTAAAAATAATAGGCCACATCACTGTAAAAATAATAGGCCACATCACCGTAAAAATAATAGGCCACATCACTGTAAAAAATTAAGGCTGAACTATGTACTGTCTCTTCTTTTATGAAAATGCTCAAATCCACCTTGCAATAGTTTAAAAATTTCTTTGATACATTTTTTAAAAAAATATTTGAAAATTTTTTGTTTCTTCATAATTTTCAAACTCAAACTCAAAAATCCCTTGAAAATTCAGCGACTTATAAGTAAAAATAAGGTTTTTTAAAAACATATTTGTGAGAGTATCAAAAAACTAGATATTTAGCCAATAAGAAAACAGTTTTTAAAATATCAAAAAACGGACAAATGGACTTGAATCAGCGGTTGAATCCGTTATGATCGCTGTTTTTTAAATCGTTAATTATTGAATGAGTTTTGACTTTTTTAATTTTTTTCTTTTAAAAATTTACTTATAATTTACAACTGTATAATTTTTTGTTGGCACAAAATTGATTTGACATTTTCTATTAAACAGTTTCACCCTTAACAAACTGCGATACTACAGAGCATGCATTGTATGCTAGAGTCAAAACATAATATTACCGTTTTATTCAATTTTGTAAAGATTTACAAATAAAAATAATATTTGCGTCACAATGTTAAACAATATTTTGATGAAAAAAGAATCTATCGTATTTGTATATTCGAGACTTCCTGCTATATCAATCTATTAGATTAATCTAATATTTGTCTAACTGTTCAACTCTGTCCATTCTAGAACCTTCATTATTAAATAGAACGGGACAAAAAAAATAGAAGTGGGAGAAAAAAAACCCGATAAAATGAGATACAATTTAAAGCACATACCAAATCTACCAAATGACCAATAAATACGATTTTTCTTGTTAAATCGTTGTATAAACTACATTTTATTTTTAACAACGTAATTGAATAGATGTGGTTAGTATTAGAAAGAAGAGAAACCACAAATGAAAATAACCCGTCTATAAAAACAAAAACATGGATACCTAATTTATACTAGATCAGACAAAGCTTTTAAGGGTACCGGAAAAATGGACATGCACAAGGTTATAATGCAAGGAAAGTTATTTCAGAGATGTAAGAATCTTTTGCACTGAAGTGTACTGTCTCTGGATGGTAATGTAAACACAATTCATCTTTCACATAAAAAATCAATAAAATATACTGGTCATAGAAAACTATTATGTAAATTATCAAGATTATCAACATTTAATGCTTTTAACCTCCTCAGATACTAAACGAACACTGATGCATTTACTCTTGTTTAAAAACTCCGCCCAGAGAGAACTGGTTTCAATATGTAACTTTCCTTGCATTATAACCTTGGACATGCCAATCTTATTTTTTTTTATTTTACTTTAAAGCTAACCTTTTTTATATTTGCTTTTATAAAAAATAATTAAATCTAGTGTATGTGTCTCATTTTTAGAAGCAGAATTACACTTTGCTTTAGTATAATTTTGTTATTTTTCACATATTTACTTTACATGAAAAATATTTTTTCCAGTTGGTTCAGTAAATTTTAGCATTTTTAAATATTTATTTTGGTTTTTTGTAATATTTAGAATATTTTTGACTGTTTGAATAATTTACTAAAAATATATATCGCCCCTATATTCAAAATCGTACTGCAAACAGGTTTGTGTTTGTAAACATGTCCAAATGTATGAAACTATTTAAACTGTAAAATATCAATCAGTTGAATTCAGCTTAGCAGAAAGTTAACATTTGTATTCTGTTACTGACCATAGCAATTCAATTACTATTACTAGGATAACAAGTTTAGCTTTTTCACGTGTTTAATATGTTTCGAGTTTTCCTTCTCTCCTCTCTTCTACAGCTGGTCTTTTCTGAAACGTGTGTGGTATGTTTTCTTTATAATAAATTTGTTAATTTGATTGTTTTGAATGGGGGGGGGGGGTGCTAAAAAATACTTATAAAATTAATTCTATGGATTTCAAAATTCATTGTATGATTGCTTCGGCCTAATGTCTGCTAGAGGAGGGAGGGTAAATTACACAAAATTGGTGAGGGAGGGTCATTTGAATGACGTTGGGTACTTTCCCAAAGACTTTTCCGCAGGTGACAGTTTCCCAAGGGTATTTTCCAAGTCACCAAGTGGTAACCTTCCATCTGTGCAAATTCCCAATGCCTACAGATATTTGAGGGTGGTATATTTTTAAGATTTTGGAAATTTCTCAAATGACTGGAAATTTTCAAGATACCCAGGCATTTAGGGAATTTCTCTAATACCCGGACATTTTGGGAATTTCCCAAATGCCTAGGTTTTTGGGAACCTTCCAAAATATCCAGTCATTTGAGAAATTTCCAAAATCTTAAATATACCACCCTCAAATACCTACAGGAATTTGGGGAATTTCCCAAATGACTGGGTATCTGGGAAATTTCCCAAATGCATAATCTAAAAAAATGTTACGCGGTCGTGTCATGGCGGAAAGTTCCCAAGTCTGTCCTAGCCACAGCGCTCGGCCCCCTTGCCAATTCTAGCCGAAGAAGGCCTAACCTAACCTTTTGGAAGTTTCACATTGGGAAAAACATTTGAACTCCCTCCTTTTTTGTATGTCTTAAATATATTGGTGTGGACTGTGGAGCTATGTTATGTTTATTTATTCTGTTCTAGAGTGGGTGCTACAGGTTGCAAGCGAGAAAGCAAAACAGAAACTTTGGGGAGAATTTTGCCAATTACATTGCTTAATTATATTTAATTCAGTCTTTTAATCTACAGACAACAAGTCGAGAGCTACAAAAATGTATTTTGGCCCACGCACCCCGTTCTTTTAAAGTAGAATTGTTATATCAAATATCTAGGTGGATAGAGAAGCCAGGTTTATACTGGACAATATGACTGCTGCAGCTGTTAAGAAGGAAGTTGATTGTATTATTGGACAAGGAGCATGCGATAATTTAGGTAGATTTTAGTTACAGGGAGGGCTCAAAGGACGATATTTCAGAGATGACTGTTTATTTCTGTCCTGGTGTTTTGCGGGTTAAGCTTTATCTTGGCAATATTTTCTAATACACTGTTAATATATTTTAAAAAATTCAAATCTCAGTTTGTTGGTTTAGGTCGTCATCCTTTGTAGGTGACTCTGTATTTTGCAACTTTTAGGGCCTATTTCTACTTAACCCTATTACGGCTGAGTGTTGAGCCAAAATCCTCCCAACTTAACTGACGTATTTAAGACGTACTAAATAAAAGGCCGCGTCAAGAGTCCGGTATGTTAAGACTGGTATAAGAGCGGTATTAGCTAATACAGCTCTAATACCACTCTTAACACTAACACCGGTGTTTAGGAAATACGGATTCATAAGTCACTAATGCTGCCTAATTTGTGGCAGGATTATCTAGCCTAGAACAGCTGATGCGTTCATAAGTCATCCTAGCTAAAACCAGGATTATCATCCAAACTTTACCGTTTTGACTCTTCTGCGCAACTCTTTTCTCTACTCAACTCAATAATTTGTTAATAATTATAAAGACGACTTTTAAATAATACATTTTTTATTATATGACGAAAGATAGATTTAAAATTCATGGAAATATCTAGCAAGCTAAACTTTTTACATTTCATTATCAAAGTTAAAAAATAAAAACTTTTCAATAAGATATATTTTTTAGAAAAAAAATCTTCAATAAAGTTTTTCTCATAAATGTTTTCTTTTTTATATTCAAAACATTTTATTAATATAGTTATTTAAAGAAGGGGGGGGGCTGAATTAAGCAAAATAAGAAGTATTTCTTAGTTTTTTAAGCATCCCTGTATTTTAAACATCCTTGTATTTCATGAGGTTGCGAGAATATCGAGACCAAACCAAATTAATGCTGGTATTTAGGGTAGATGATCCTACCTAAATCTACCCTGCGGGTGGATTTGATAACACCGCCCTCAGTTACACTAGCATTTCTGTTAATACCAGTATTAACACAACTTATGAACGCGTAGGGTAGATGATCCTACCAACCAGGATTAGTTAAGAGCGCTATTAAGGGTTTCTTGAACCGGCCTTGTGTCTTACTCACGTCATGGTTAACTCACGTAATTTCATCGTACTTATTTGAGGTCGTAAGAGGTCATTAGAAGGTCAAACACTGTATTTGTTGCTACTACTGTATTCCCTGGGTTCCTAGCTTTCGTTTGATATGCAGAAAGCCATAGTTAAAACATTTTCATTTTTGGACGTCATTTAGGTCATTAGAGGTCGTTAGAGGTCAGTAGAACGTCAAACACTGGATCTGTTGCTGTTACTGCTTTCCCTGGGTTCCTAGCTTTCGTTGGATATGCATTAAGCCATAGTTGAAATATTTTCTATTTGTGGAGGTCATTAGAGGTCATTAGAGGTTATTAGAGTTCAATTTGATTTTATTATAGAAATTTCGAACACTTATTAGGCGTGCACCCAAAAAAATGGAAGATTTTAACCAAAAGGAAGGTAGGGCCCCCCCCCCCCAAACATCAAATGTGCCAACTCCACCATCCCCTTTCATTATTTTCTGATAAATACTGTGATATACCACTGTGCCGTTAACGAAGTTTTTTCAGTGCTTGTGCCGTTTATATAAGATAAAGATCCAGTATTTTTAGAGCCAGGATGTCCCAATTTTTAACTTTTGGAAATGTTATTGTTTTTATTAAAAATGCCAAATTTTCAAAATTAAAAATGCAAAGATTTCTTGCTAAAAAGTGTTTTTTGCCCAATTCAGTGTTTCATCTACAACATTTTAGGTTTCCGGTTGAAAGAAGTAGCCGGTAAAGCTGTGAGGGAGGGTCGGTGTGCTGGCAATTGTGATTGTGAACAAATTCAGGTATAATTAATAATTGTTTTTTGGATGTCTTGTTCATTAAACAACCTGCAACCCATATTTCTTTAGGCTTTCGGAAAAGTTTTAAAATGTTTGAACCAAGAAATATATTGACCAGGAACCGCCATATCTCATGCGTCAAATCTGTACTGCGGTGGGAGGAGATCACATCATTTTTGAAAAGGGGTGGAATAAGCATATATTGCTACTGTATTTTCCATATTGACCAGAAAGTCAAAAAGAAGTATAAACTTGTTTTTTGTTGGATTGTAATATCACATCAGAGCTTTAGTCCTTTCCCTTCAACTTCTGTGGGGGGCAGTGGCACTGGGTTTGTTTGCATTCCTCCCACAGAGTACAGTACATAATATGCGTATATCTGAGTTGGGCGTTCCTGTACATAGTTCCTTGGTTTGAACTTTATTTTTATTGAACGGGTATTATAATAACTGCAATTTGCAATTTTTGTGAAGACATTTTTGTAAATATGGTAACATTTCGTCCAGGTTAATTTTGGTTGTTCACTTTGTCTTTAACATTTCGGATAGAACATCTCGTCTAGGTAACATTTCGGATAGAACATCTCGTCTAGGTAACATTTCGGATAGAACATCTCGTCTAGGTAACATTTCGGATAGAACATCTTGTCTAGTTAACATTTCGGATAGAACATCTTGTCTAGGTAACATTTCGGATAGAACATCTTGTCTAGGTAACATTTCGGATAGAACATCTTGTCTAGGTAACATGTCGGATAGAACATCTTGTCTAGGTAACATGTCGGATAGAACATCTTGTCTAGGTAACATGTCGGATAGAACATCTTGTTTAGGTAACATGTCGGATAGAACATCTTGTCTAGGTAACGTGTCGGATAGAACATCTTGTCTAGGTAACATGTCGGATAGAACATCTTGTCTAGGTAACATGTCGGATGGAACATCTTGCCTAGGTAACATGTCGTACAACATTGTGTACATGGTATCATGTTTGCCACAACATTTTTTCTTCTGGAGGTTTTGTATTTTTTTCAACTTTTTGCTCTATTTCTTGGCAAGTATATGGAGTTTTATCTAATAATATAAGACTTTCATCAATAATTAATGTTTCTTTGACATACTCATTTTCTTATTGTAAGGCTTGGGTTATAATTGACAATGGAACTTTTTTACTAGGCTTTAGTGGCGCTTCGCGCCCATCTTCTATTTCAATTTTTAACATTTCCTTTTTGTATACATTGTAAAACCAAAACAAAGCTCGTGGATTTTTTTTATTTTCGTGGATTTTTAAAGTTTAATTAAAATCAAATTTTTTGCATTTTTGCGTTATTTAATCGTCTTTTGGCATTCATGGTGATACTTAACTGAATTATAAGAGATATTTTTATAAAACTTTTTATTTAGGTTCGACTGGTGGTGAACAAAGTTAAACGTTTGTATCCAGAAGAATGGAAGAGAGTTCAAGACTACTATTCTAAATAGAAATATGTTTAACTGTTTTTCAATATATATTGACATCATATAATAAAATCTTTAAAATATTAAGCACATCTTTAGATTTGAATATCATGTCCGAGGGAAGGAGTTTTTACTTAAGATTGTTTGCGTTAAAATTAAGCCACCAGATATGTGACTTTAGTTGCTAATCTAGAATTTAAAGTTGCAAGTAAGCCGCCTTTTTAGATTTTAAAGTTCCAACTAAGCAGCTTTTTTTAATATAAAGTTGCAATTAAGCAGATGTTTACAATTAAGCGACCTAGTTAGAATTTAGAGTTTCATCTAAGTCGCCTAGAAATTAGAGCTACAACTAAGCCGCTTATTTAGTATATAAAGTTTCAATTAAGCCGCCTATTTAAAATAAGAAGTTGCAATAAAGCTGCCTATTTAAAAGTCGCCAGTTAGAATTAAAGCCGCCAATTAAAAATAACATAACATCCCAGCGTGTTTAGAGTTAAAATCAAAAGTTGTTACAAAACTGATTAAAAAATTTCTAACTGAACATTTTTAATATGGTAAAAATCTTAACTCTTCTCAAATTACATTTTCTAATCCTGATAAAAACTTTTAACTCTTCTCAAATTATATTTTCTATATCCTGATAAAACTCTGAACTCGTACCAAATTATAATTTTCTAATCCTAATAAAAACTCTGAACTTGTCTCATTCTAATTTGCTAATCCTGATAAAAACTCTGGAATATTCTCAATTATAATTTTCTAATTATGATAAAAATTCTGAACTCGTCTCATTATGATAAAAACTCGGGAACACTTATCAAACTATAATTTTCTAATCCCAACAAAAAGTCAACTCTTCTCAAACTATAATTTTCTAATCCTGATAAAAACTCTGAACTCGTTTCAAATTACATTTTCTAATCCTGATAAAAACTCTGAACTCGTTTCAAATTACATTTTCTAATCCTAATAAAAACTCTGAACTCGTCTCAAATTAAAATATTCTAATCCTGATACAGGGTTACACACAAAGGATAAGACTTCAGAGACGACTTTACATAATTTACGAAATTTATAGTTTCCGTTTTCTTATGTCTTTCTTTCTTTGTCAAAAGATTAAATAAGACGATTTTGAAGGTATAAGACTGAATATAACCCTGGGATTGTCATATTTGAATTAGGTCGATTTTACAGTCTCATCCTTTGTGGACATCCCTGTTATCTTTACGTTTTGAGAATTTGGAAAACTGCGCCAAACATTATATTCTTAATTCCCCTTGAAAATCGAAGACTTGAGGCAGCGAGCTTTAACTAGGAACCAGGATACGTACATATAAAAACTATAAAGAGGATATATCATCAATTCGACAGATGCAGTTTAAGGTTGGATCTAGTTTCTTAGAACTAGATCAAAATACGATATAACTATAGATAGGAAGAAATGTTCTAAACTGAAATGTGAAAACTAAAAATGAATTGAACGTGAGAAATGATTTTCAGCTGCTATCTAATTTTTTTCTGCTTCTGTCATATTTAAGGTTTGGATCAAGCGAAAGTCGTCTTATATTCTTGGAAGCGCATTAAGAACAAAGAAATTTTCAAAATAGATTATCACGTAAATCCAAAAGAGGTTTATAGTATATAGAGGGAATTTGTAGCATATACAAGTGTGCACGAAACTTTGACCAGAGGCCGTTCCTTTCATAAACTACATTGGTCGACAACTTGACGTCTCCTATATTGGTCGTAAAATGTACGGAGAAATATCTATCAGATAAGAATTTAGCACGAGACATCTAGCGGCCAACATATCGTCCCCCAAAGTACGTGAACTACACGACCACTTTCTATGGAGAGAACGGGCTCTGAGCCCGAAATTTAAAAGAGTATCGTTGGACAAAACTCCCGAGTTTACTTTTTGGGGTCTTAACACTTGTGTAGATTTGATTTTTAAGAGATTAGAAAAAAAAATTGAGAATAAAAACAAACTGAATAAAATAATATTTCATAACAAAAATATTAATATTCCCCAAACTGCTTAACTCCAGTCGTGAAACCTGGGTTTTAAAACTGGTTTTCAGAACGATCTGTCTTTAAGTTTTGGGCTGTAGACTCAGCTTAGTAAATGCAGTAATTTGTTTTGAATTCCTTAGTTACCTCATTTACCTCATTTTTCATTAAATTTGATACTGATCTGGTCGCTTCTCCAGGTTCAACTAAAATAAGGGAACAATGAGATATAAAAAACTGATCAATGTTTTGGAAATACCAATTAGAGGTCCCTCAATAAGGTCTTTTGTTGAGTCATTTTTAAAATTAAACAATTATAACAAGAAAACTGTAGAGCAGAAAGACGACATTAAACTAGTACTACAAAGAAAAAATAGCTTTACTAAGTTATTTAATTACTTAATACGTGAAATTGGTCTGTTTACGCTGCACAATTGCTGTGCCTCATGTTCTTTAGACTATTTTAAGTCATAACTTCCTATTCCAGAGTTTTCTGATTATCACTGTAAGCATTTTAACTCCACCTGCAGATTTACGTCTGAAGTTTAGATTCATTGGAGATAGCTCCAAAGGTTTATAGTTGGTGTTTTTCAAGCAGCCTTTTGTGAATTTGTTCATGTGCGCTGGAGGATTTCCAAGGTTTAGATTTGAATCTTTTAAACTATGTGATCTGAGAACTTGGTTGACTCGTGAGGGTTTGACACTGAATATAATTCAAATAAATATCATTATTGAAACTAAATCTAATTTTTAAATAGTTATTGAAGTGGTACTTTTGTCTTCTGTAATTTACTTCAAATAAAGATATAATGCAGTAATGGTTTACTTACGTTGAAATTACTAAGACACTGTGTAGCTTATTTGTAGGACACCATGTTTTGACATATTAGACAAAGTTTAGTAATTTAAAATCTGATTATTTGTTTGTCTCCAATAAACGTGAAAAACTGATGAACCGAACGGGCAAGTTTTTTTGTAATGGCAACTTATACGACCCCAGGGAAGGGTTATGTATTGATATCAGACATTTCTGCGATCGAGAAAAATGTCGAATTTTTTTTAGTTTTAAAAATCCATCAATGTAATCAGAAACATTTGCGAAGTTTTGAATTTTAAGAAAAAAATGTTTGCTTCTATAGAAACAAATCAACGAAAAGGAGAACAACACTAATATTAAGACACTCTGTAGTATCATAGCTTCTAGTTCAAACGGAAATGAATCAAATTCATTTCCTTTTGAACTTTGAAGAACGTGAAACAATATTAAATTCAAAGGGTTTTTACATTTCAACATTTAAAAGAGAGAAAGAAAAATGCTAAAATGGAATGAAAACTAAAAACTGAAAACTGAAAACTGAAAACTGAAAACTAAAAACTGAAAACTGAAAACTGAAAACTGAAAACTGAAAACTGAAAACTGAAAACTGAAAACTGAAAACTGAAAACTGTAAAAACTGAAAACTGAAAACTGAAAACTGAAAACTGAAAACTGAAAACTGAAAACTAAAAACTAAAAACTAAAAACTAAAAACTGAAAACTGAAAGCTGAAAACTGGAAAACTGGAAACAGAAAACTGAAAACTGAAAACTGAAAACTGAAAACTGAAAAACTGGAAAACTGAAAACTGAAAATTGAAAACTGAAAACGGAAAACTTAAAATTGAAAATTGAAAACTGAAAACTGGAAAAATGAAAACTGGAAAACTGGAAAACTGGAAGACTGGAAAACTGGAAAACTGGAAAACTGAAAACTGAAAACTGAAAACTGAAAACTGAAAACTGAAAACTCAAAAACTGGAAAACTGGAAAACTGGAAAACTGAAAACTCAAAAACTGAAAACTGAAAACTGAAAACTGAAAACTGAAAACTGAAAACTGAAAACTGGAAAACTGGAAAACTGAAAACTGGCAAAAAGGGAAAACTGAATCCTGAAAACTGGAAAACTGGAAAACTAGAACACTGAAAACTGAAAACTGAAAACTGAAAACTGAAAACTGAAAACTGGAAAACTGGAAAACTGGAAAACTGAAAACTGAAAACTGAAAACTGAAAACTGAAAACTGGAAAACTGGAAAACTGAAAACTGAAAACGGAAAACGGAAAACGGAAAACTGAAAACGGAAAACGGAAAACTGGAAAACTGAAAACATTTCTATGAAAAGTTTCTATGGAAACCCTACCAATAAATATCTTTTATAATTGAAACCTTCCAAACCATTTGATAAAATCCGTTTAGCGATCAGTATCACTCGATTAAAATTATATACAATATACGTAACATACCAGGTTTACATCAGCACGTAACAAACTTTCCAGAATAAGAATCCGATTTTTACACATAACTGAACCGCACAGAAGTAGTTCAACCACTTCTCTTATTCGCAGATTTAGCTGAAAGAAGGTAGTTGAACTATGTCTTTACGGCTCAACCATGTCCTGCTATTCATTAAACATAGTCTTTGAATTAATACAATTACTACAATAGCGTTTTTTTAATAATAAAACATTTAAATATTTGAATTTCCTAGTGAACTGTTCAGATCTTGTGCTGATACAGGGACTAGGACAAGGTCCCTTCAATTCAAAATTTTCTAAACATCTGGGGTTTAGCAAATCTGGTATCATTTGAAACTTGGATTAAAAAATATGCATTTTTATCATAATTATTTTCTTCAAAAAAAATGTTATATACTAATTGATAAGAACAAAAAATCTCCTTTGATATCTAATTGGATTATAAAAAGTTTAAAATGAAAAATAAACAAAAAAATAACTAAAAACCTTGAACATTTTTTTAACGGCAAAATAAAACAACCTTAGATAAAAATATCTGCAGATACCTAATACCCGGGTGGGCTCAGGATCATTGATAAATTATGTTGGCAATTTATCTTCTACAACCGCCGGTGTGGTTAAAATATAGAAACAAATTAAAATTTTCAATTTCCTATATTTTATTGCTCGGGATATTAAACTTTAAAGAGAATATCATAATATATCGGGGAAAGATTACTGGTAAAAATTAATTTAAATAACGACAGTATAAAGCGTATAATTGTATCACACAAAAAAATCATAAATAGATTCCTTAATTAAGCCCAAACCTCATGAAATACAAACCACTAGGAACACTTCCTTCCAACTTTATTATTTGCAATTTTATAGTGTAAACTTTTGTATATCTATATCTATAGAACTAATAGTTTGAAATATCAAATGTTTGCGACACCAGTTTGCCAAGTTATGGAAGAAACCAGGATTTTCAGTTCCTTGGTGGAATGAGATAAATTTTATTCCATTAAACAAAGAAATTAAGTCTTTGCAACAAACTCAATTTTTCTAATTCCTATATCTTTGGAACCTGATGATGTTAACCTTTGATATTTTAAACTTTGATTTTTAATCAAACAGAATTCGTAGTTTGTAATATCAAAGGTCTTCAACATTGGTTTGCAAAGATATATGGATTAGAAATCAGAATTTGTGGGAAAACATCAATTTCTTTGTAAAATTTTTTTTTCTCTATTAAATGTTTCAAATGTTCCTTGTTTAGTTTGGTTCTGCTGAGGTTGAAGTTTAAAATCTTCTGGTTCAATGCTGCCAGGAAGTCCACTGAATCAGCAGATTTTTTTACAATTTAAACAAAATATATAAGATATATAAGTTATACAGGGTGAGTCAAAAAAAAAGTGTGATAAGCGGCGCCTGATGCAAAATTGTACCTTTTTGTGCAATTCTCCTGTATGGTGTTTTTTTCAATATTTTTTGAAAATTTTGAATTTTTTGTAATTCCAATGGCCCAAAAAAAAAGAGAACCTTTTTTCTGGAAATTGGAAAAACAAAATTCACAATTTTCCGTTCTGGTCTAATTTTTAAGAAAAAATTATCTAAATTCTCTAGTTCCTTTCTTCATAGTATATTCTAAAGTTTTAAATATACGCTGTTCATTTGAAACCTGAAGAACGATTAAAAAAACAACCTTCACTTAAAAATTAAACTAGAAACAGGAAACCTCGAGTAAGAAACCAGAAACAGGAAACCTTAAAAATTAAACTAGAAATTGCAAATTTTCTTATCACAATGTTCTGTGATTCAATCTTTATAAAATTTTAGAAATAATTTATAGACACATTTTTGCTTTTCTGAACTTTTGATTTTGAGAGAAAAAAAGGTTCGTGGATTTTTTTTCAGCCGTTGGAATACAAAAAATTTTTTTAAATTCAAAAAATATTGAAAAAAAAACACCATATAGGAGAGTTGCACAAAAAAGGTACAATTTTGCACCAGGCGCCGCTAATCACACTTTTTTTCACTCACCCTGTACCTAAATTATTGAGCCAACTTTATAAGAGGACATTTTGAAATCCTAAAAAATTAAAGAAAATACGGACAGGGCCCTGTTGAAAAATGGATTGTATTTAAAACGACATTGAATCTAAAAGGCAAAAAACAAATGAAAAATGGTCAACGTTTTTAATTTTTTTCATTAACTAAATAGAATAATTGTTAGATTCAGTCATCACTGTGGGGTTTTAGCATGTGTTCCATGAAAGTTGTTCAATTTACTTTGCTCTAATTAAAGCATTTAATTTATGAAATTTCACAATTTGTCACAAAATTAATAAATTCCACCATGATCTCTAAAATATTTTAGCTAGTCGGCCATTTTGAATTTATTATTAGATAATGGAATCTCAGTCCGCGTGTTTCCGGTCTAATGGGATTGTTCCGATGTTAAGGAGAGTTTGGGGTATTAATTTCCAAAAATAAGCATTTTATTTTTTACCGTTTTTTTTGTTTCTTCAAGTTATCAAGAACGGAATTAAGTATTTGTCACAATATACTTGCAACCTAATGTCGTAGACCTTAGATACAGGGTGTCCCACGAGACATGACAGTTGGTGAATAATTTAAAATGTCTTCTTCCACAACTACATAAGTTGTTTAATACCAAAGAGAATTATAAGAATAGTTAATGGTAGTCATATTATTGTAAAATTGATTTCAAAGTAAAATATGTTTTTGCAAACATTTTATTGAACGAAAAAAATGCAAAAAGGCTTTAATATCTATCATACTATAGGGAAGAAGACATTTCAAATTATTTACCAACTGTCAAGTTTCGTGGGACACCCTGTATTTCAAACCATGAATTCTCTAAGATCTAATAATCTAAGTTTGAACTTGTGGCAATGACTAAATTCCTTTGTCCAGATTTCAAATTTTAACATAACATCAAAATTTGTTAAAATAGCTCCAAGCTACAAAGAAGTTTGACCTCATTTACAAATGCTAATTAAATAAACAGACTTCACTAACTGTATCTGTGGCATTTTAAGACACACACCTCTTTTAGAAGTGAATCAAGCAAATATAAGCTGGGTCGTTTTAGACGATCTTCATGTCGTCTTTAAAATACCACGTTTATTGAGAAATGAGTGGAACTGAACGTATCTATAACACTCTAATTATCTAAATATTTTAACATTTAAAATTAAGGTTTATAGTTTTCAGCGTTTTTTTTCAGTTTAACATCATTAAATATTCTGTTTGACCTTAAAACTTCATTGAGCCCTTTATAGAGTTCGTTTTTTATATAGGTTGAATTCATTTTTATATAGGTTGAATTCATTTTTATATAGGTTGAATTCATTTTTATATAGGTTGAATTCATTTTTATTACTACAGAAAATTTAAAAAATAAAACACAAAGGAAATCCCCTTCCAAGATTTTATCGACGCTTCACGTGCTATTTGAGCGCGCAGAGGCTCTTCATTGGAAACCCAAGGTTTACAAATTTGTCCTCGCAACCCCCCAAACTGTCATCAAAACGCCTGATTTGCAGTGTGTTTTAATTGGAGACCTCCCAAGTTTTAATTGAAGGCTCCAATTGTCATCAAAATTCCTTAAATTTGCATTGGAGACCTTTAAAAATGTGCATCAGAGACACGAAGCTTTTCATTTTTGGAGACCCCAAAATTACCAAAAAACATTGAAATAGGAAGACGACTACTAGACTCAAGTTATGACTTTTAATAGTACAATGAGCATGTGATACAACAAATGTGCAGTGGAAATAGATTAGTGATTTAATAAGTCTCTAGTAAAACTAACTGCTTTGTAACAATATCTAATACACTAAAATTCAATGATAACAAGAAACTTATGGAATACTGAACTGCATTTGATGTTGTAACAACCCTAAATGCTTTACTTGTAATTTAATAAATCATATATTTAGTGAAATAGCCCTGAGTTTACTTGTTCTCACGATATTCCCATAATGTCATCTACCTATTCCATTGTTTTCTGGTTCTCACTGTACTTCAAGTTTACCTGTATTCTACTTGGCCTGATGTTTTCCCTATTAAACTTCTCTTCAAGTTCTCAGCAATTTTCTAAATATAACTCTTCCTTCTATTTACTTTAAAACTCAATATATCTAATTTAAAAGATTTATTCAAAAATTACAAAAGTTAAAGATTTGAATTCTGTTGTAAAAAATGTTGTATTTAGCTGATTTATAATAACTTTAGTTGTTTTATATTCTCGTTGCGCTCCAATTTTCGGGAAATGTCGTCTTCAAAACAAAAATAGTTTAAAATTCTGGTTTGAAGGTGCTCGGACTGGTGATTATAGATCTCCCTAAACACACTGTCCCATAAAATATGACATCATTTCCGGATTTAGAGACGACATTTCCCGTATATTGGTGCGCATCAAGAGTGAGCCACCTTTCTACACAACCTTGCTTAAAAGACTCTCTACAAATATCCTTTTATGCCTAAATTCCCCCAAACAAATCAAATCGAACGTTTTTTGTGTAATAAATCAAAGATAAATGTTTACAACTTATTCAATCCTTTTTCATAAGTATACCTTCGGAGAAAACTGTGGCGAAAGCCGTAGATTTGGTAGACTTGGGTAAGAATCTTCAACCTATTAAACATTTAAAAAAAATTAGTATTCCCATCTGTTTATCTATATAAATAAAGTAGTAATCTCTTTTTTTTGTTTTGATATCCCATCATAACTCAGGAATCCCTTTACTGATTGGCCTCAAATTTATCGGGGAACTCGGGAGAATTACGGGAATGTTCTTTAAGCCTAGGCTAGAGATTCTATTTGAAGTGGGTCGACTTTTATACGGCAAAATAGCTAATATCGTAAGTTACGACCAAGCGCGGGTAAATGGCGGGAGTAACTATGATTACCCTGGGCGCCGCTGAGTTCCCAAACTAGTATAACATAAATCAGGTCACATCACCTTGTATTTAATCTTGTTAGCTTGTCCGTCATTTTCCTTTTCCTCGTCCCCAACATTTTGTAGTAAACTGGTCATCTCGCAGTCCATAGCAGCTGATTGAACAGCTGAAGAACTGGTTTAATCCAGTTTTTTATCTGAAATAAATATCACAAAGTCTAATATGATTATTCAATTACTGACTTAATATAGTAAATCCATCTTAAAATTACTCATTAACCAACTTTGTGATATTTCAAGATATTTGTCAAAAATTTCATTGTAAAACAGTTTAAGAATTCAACACACAAAATATTAATCTTAAGTAGAGTTGAAAAATCGGTTTAGGTTGTGCTTTTTTGAGTGACGCAGCTGGATTTTTTAAAATCACACTTTAAAGGCCCTAAATATACCATTTGAAAAAGTAGTTTTGCCCGGAAGAGTCAAATGTGGTGGTACGGAAGGGGAAATAGTGGTGGTTCATGGCTGCCGGAAGAGAAAAAAGCTAATATGTGGCACGGAAGGGGAAATAGCGGTGGCTCATGGACGCCTGCCTTCCCCCGCTCGTTATATATAGCTGCACAAATAACAGAGAAAGAGACTTGATGATTTATTTATGGAATTTTACATGAATTCATATTCACAGAAAATTATATTTACTTGTTTTCTCCATTAAACACATTTAAACATATTTTTTATTCAATAATGAGAAGAATTACATTTTGAAATTTTTCAAGTTTTTTTATTTAAAAATCGTTTTCCTGTTTATACATTGCCATTTAAACCCCCCCCCCCTCTAACAAAATTCCATCTTGCACCTTTCTCAGGAGAAGAAGGAAAAGGGTTTAACTAACCGATCTATTATTCATCTTATTGGACTAATCTTAAACCTATAATTACGATTCCTATATATATATATACTTAGTATATATGCTAAATATATATATGGACTGCATGCACGAAATCTAACTATACATCAGACACATATTGTATTATGAGACTATACATCAGACATATATTGTATTATGAAACTATACATCAGACACATATTGTATTATGAGACTATACATCAGACATATATCGTATTATGAAACTATACATCAGACATAATATTGTGTTATGAAACTAACATTGACTGTAAACTTAACTTTCTAAAATTAAAGTCAATCCACTCAATCTAGAATTTTTAAATAAAGCTACCCAGGTAACAAAAGTAAGACTCAAATTCTCCAACTTTGGTGACTCAGGAATATGTTGAGAATATCTCAAGTTATTCCTGATTACAAGAAGTTCTCTGGAATTTGTCACGAGAAATTCTCCGGAAATGTTCATAACAAATTCTCCAGCCCTGGCCAAACCCTGTAAATGTTCTGTGTCTGCGAATTTCTCTAGGAGAATCTTTTTCCAGAAATTCTCGTGAAATCTCCGAATTCTGTTAACATTTTCACCGGTCACCTGGTCATGAGAATTTCCTACAACCAATTCTTAGGAATTTTGGGAAAGATTTATGGGTATTTCCGCTAAACTGTTACATGGGTAAGGACATGTGGTTCTACCAAGTTTCCAAATCCAAAGGAATTGAGTCTTTGCCACAAACTCTGAATTTATAATCCCTATATCTTTGGAACCCAATGTCACAAATCTTTGATATTTCAAACTTACATTATTTGATCTAACAGAATTCATACTTTGAAATATCTAAGGTCTACGACATTGGAATCCAAGGATATAGAGTTTAGAAAAGCAGAGTTTGTGGCCAAGACTCAAGTCCTTTGAGGCAAATCGGACAAACAAACAAACTGAGATTACTACTCTATACATATTAGATACTTTAAAAAGGGGACTCCAAATTTGAAAGGTTGGAAGCTATTACTCCAAAATCGAAAATAATTTTGCTAATTACTTCTTAAAAACTGTAGCTAAATACATGAGCTTTTAGTTCTAAAATTTACATTCCTAAGGCTACAAAAAAAATCAATGCAAGTTAGTGAGGTAAAACCAGTTTTAGAAATTGAATAATTAAACGCAGTCTGGATCAATGTACAAAACTTGTAGAATACTTTGTGTGTGCATGCAATGGATCATCATATTACAGCCAAGTAATATTCTAGAACAGAGCATAAATAATATCAAATCAGAGACCGGAAATAATGAATACCGAGAAGTAACTGAAATATATATAATTCAATTTTTTTAAGCCTATAACAACCATGAGTGTCCACAAAAAATTTCAACCCAATCGGTCCAGCCGTTTGGCCGGCTATACGCAACATATATACGAATGTCTTGTTTAATTATATTGATAGAAGAAGATAGATATGGATGGAAGTAACATCTGTATACGGATTATACAAACATGTTTTTTAGGAGAAATTTACAAAAATATTTAAAGAAAAATAATTATACAATTCATAGATGTTTCAACTCCGAGTGCTATCAATCTAATGTTTATAAAATGTACAATTGAAAATATCATGATGATATAATAAATTTGTTATGTAGTGTATCTGTATCCAATTATCAATGTAATGAATGATATAACTAAAAATTCGTCCATTATGTATAATGATATTAAGTATTTATGAAAACTAATAAAACGGAAAAGAAAACACCAGCTTAGAATAATCTTAAATGGAATATTATATTCTAGCTGAAGCGTCCGGCGAGGCCCGTGGAATTTTAGAAACAGTCAAAAAAAATTTGAATTTTGAAAAAAAATTTTTTGAAGAAACAGAAAGAAAAAAAAATCGAATGTTACCCCCAGGGTAACCATGGGTTCCCTAAACAAATGTCAGCCAATTTGGTCCAGCAGTTTGGCCAACTACAGCTAACATCTATATAATAAAGCTCTTCGCCAGGCCAAACGGTGGACCAAATCGGCTGAAATTGTCTGAGGGTTTCCCAAATGCAGGCATTTTAGCAAGTTTTATATAACTAGCTGAAATGCTAGACGTTGACCGTGGAATTTTAGAAAGACTTGAAAAAAACATTTCGAATTATGAAAAAAATCATATTTTTTAGCCAATTTTAGCCAATGAGGTTTCCTCAAAAACTTTCAGCCAATTAGGTCCAGCGGTTTGGCCAGTTACAGCTAACATAACATACATAAATATTTATAAATATGAGCGAAGAGCTTTATTATTTAGAAAAATATATATATTATAGCCGGCCAAACACTTTTAGAAATGCAACAGAAGTAAAACTTCCAAATTAGGCCTCCCCCCTGGGTTATAGACATAAGAGTATATTGTATATTCTATATTCTATATCTATAAAGTTGCAATTAATTGTCTGTTTGTATGTCCAATTACAACTCATGAACCCCTTGACCGTTTTGCCTCACATTTTGATTTGGGAACTCAGTAGGACTACGGGAATGTACCTATCTTGATTTATAAAATTTTAATTGAGGTGGTCGACTAATATATTGAGGTGGTCGACTAATTTAATTGAGGTGGTCGACTAATTTGCCAGGCAAAGCTGGGTTCACAATTGATATTATCCTTTATATATTTATTAACATACAATAAAAACCAAATTTGTTAATGCCACCTTCATGTGGAAATATGTAATATAGATAAAGGAATTTAGTCTTTGTTACAAACTTTATCTTTGCAATCTTATAGTTTTTTTTTTAAACTTAGATTATTTTATATTACAGAATTCAATCGGCGCTATCAGTAAATGGAAATATTTACTTCTAATGAAACTATGGTGATAGTTTGAAAAAGCAAAAGGTTTACGACAACATGGGATGCAAAAAAGAAATTGCTCAATTGTCTCTCAATAGTACTGATATACACAGAACAGTTATTGTAGATCTGCATTAAAAAAATATTCATTGAAGGTATATATATACTTTGTATTCATTTCTGAGGCATTATAATGTATTCCGCTCAGATTAACCGTTTCCACTATTTGTAAAAATTCATACTTTTATCCTAAAATAATAAATGAAAAGAACAATTTTGTATAAAAGTAGAGGGTTTAAAAAGATCAAATTCAGCAAATATGCAACCAATCTGAAAACGATGATATCCCAGAGAAAGCTAATTGTAACTTAGGTTTACTCCAATTCTCATTTAATATTTATTATTTCTATTTTTTTATAGATTTAATTCATAATGTTATTTATACGTCACTATTGCTTGACCAGAAATTCCACCAATGGCAGTGCAGTTAAGTGGTCACGTGATACCCCCTTTCAGTTTTCCTTTACAGTCCCTTTAAATACAGAGATGTGTACTCGGGGGAAGGGGGGGGGGGGCTCGCTAACTCACTATCCTTTAGTGAAACCCCAGCCGTGTACAAATTTTAACTATGCATTTAATTGCTTTTAAGCAGTAATTGGCAAATTTCACATCAATTTTTTCGCAAGCGCTTGCAAACTTTGGATCACTGTGAGGGTCTAAGGTTGACAATTATCCTAAATTCTATGAGATGAGTGGCCGAATTTCAAGAATTTGAGCGGCGGTTTAAATTTAAGCTGCGGTTTAAATATGGTTGGTTACACTTAAAATTGTATTCAATGTTTCAAGATTTAAGCAGGCGCTTAATTTAAACCAGGTTTTGGCGGATTTAAACCGCGGCTCAAATTCTTTAAATTCCATCTCAGGACTGCTAAGAAAATGGTGTAAATATATTATTGTAAAAAAAATATAAATAATGATTTCTAAAGCCAATTCCTACTCTCTCATGAAAATTCCGACCTTTGTTTATAATCTTTGTTAATGTTTTGATAAAACTAGTTTCTATCAGTCATTCTTTATGTCACGTCGCAATAAAATGTGTACACAATCCCTACCCCCCCCCCTCCCTCCCATGCCTTAGGCCTTAGTTCTACACACATTGAACTGTTTAATGTTTATTTTATATGAGTTCTCTAATTTAAACAGTTCTGCTAGAGAAATATCTTTTAATGCATTCCCAGTAGCTAGAATTTTTTTAACCTGAAAAATATAAAACTCTTGTGAATTTTATTTGACCAAGATTTGTATATTTATAATATCTATCTATCAGCCCCCCCCCCCTCCTCCTCTACCAAAAAAGTTTCTTTATACTTTGTTCTAACAATATGTGTGATCAATAGTTTCTATCTTTACCAATTATTTAGTTTTAAATATAATTTTTCATTCATTACAAAAACGGAAACAATTTTTCCATTTTTTAGAAATGAATTAAATATTGAAACTACAATAAAGCCAAATGAAATATTTTTTTTGCAAAAAAACATGAAAAATTTACCGAGTTACAAACCAAAATCATGGCATTCAGTTTAAAATATAACACATTTTTACAACATTTTTAAATGTCAATTTTTTGGATGAAAATGGTTTACAATTATTCTATTATACCCTACAAGATATACAAGAAGTGCTAGTTAAAAGTCTAATTGGTCTGAATTTGAAATGTAAATATTTCGTATATATGCTATAGATGCTAGTGTGGACAATAAAGTGTGAAATAAACATGGAAACTGTTTGATACTTGCTCTCCCCCCCCCCCACCCCGGCACCCACCCATTATTAATATTTACGTCGTCTTTACTGTCTATACCTTTCTGAGTAACCTTGTATTTTTAAAGATAGGCGGGATGGGATGGTGGGGGGGGGGAGTAGGAAATAACCCCAAAAAACGTTACAAAAACTTTAAGTATTCGCAGCTTTGCTACAACATTCCACGCAAATTTGAGTTCCCCGCGTGCAAAACAAATTCACCCCTCCCTCTCTGCACCCTTCAGTGCACCCCTCTTGTCAAATGAAAATGATATATTTTAATTCAAGTCTTCTATTTTTCTGTTTTGGTTTAACTAATGTGTGCTAGGGAAACTACAGGGGAACCAGGGAGAGTTAAGAAGAAACTAAACGGAAATATCTCAGCGGAGCTAGATTCATACAGAGCCTCCGGTACTAACTAGTCTCTAGGTAGGAGTAGAGTACTAGGTATATAGGTAGGAGTATAGTACTAGGTATAGGTAGGGGTATAGTACTAGGTATAGGAAGGAGTAGAATACTAGGTATAGGTAAAAGTAGAATTCTAGGTATAGGTAGGAGTAGATTACTAGGTATTGGTAGGGGTATAGTACTAGGTATAGGTAGGAGTATAGTACTAGGTATATAGGTAGGAGTACAGTACTAGTCTCTAGGTAGGAGTAGAGTACTAGGTATAGGTAGGAATAATATACTAGGTATAGGTAGGAGTATAGTACTAGGTATGGGTAGGAGTATAGTACTTGTTATAGGTACGAGTAGAGTAATTGGTATAGGTAGGAGTATACTAATAGGTAAAGGTAAGAGTAGAATACTAGGTATTGGTAGTAGTAGAGTACTAGGTATAGGAAGGAGTATAGTACTAGGAATAGGAAGGAGTATAGTACTAGGTATAGGCAGGAGTATAGTACTTGGAATAGGTAAGAGTACAGTACTAGGTATGGGCAGGAGTATAGCACTAGGTATGGGTAGGAGCATAGTACTAGGTATAGGTAGGAGTATAGTACTAAGTAAAGGTAGGAGTATAGTACTTGGTATATGTAGGAGTAGAATACCAGATATATAAATATATAGGAGTAGAGTACTAGGTAAAGGTAAGAGTAAAATACTAGGTATTGGTAGAAGTAGAGTACTAGGTATAGGAAGGAGTATAGTACTAGGTATGGGTAGGACTATAGTACTAGGTATAGGCAGGAGTATTGTACTAGGTATAGGCAGGAATAGAGTACTAGGTTTAGAAGGAGTAAAATATTAGGTAAAGAATGAGTAGAATGATAGGTTAGGTAGGAGTAAATAATAGGTAAAGGTAGGTGTACAATATTAGGTATAGGTAGGAGGAGAACACTAGGCATAGGTAGGAGAGGAGTAATAGGTATAGGTAGGAATAGAGTAATAGGTATAGGTAGGAGTAGAATACTAGGTAGAGGTAGGATTAGAGTACTAGGTAAAGAAGGAGCAGAATACTAGTTAAAGGAAGGAGTAGAGTACTAGGTAGAGGTAGGAGTAGAATAATAGGTATAGGTAGGAGTAGAATACTAGGTAAAGGTAGGCGTAGAAAACTATTAATAGGTAGGAGTAGAGTACTAGGTATAGAAGGAGTAGATTAATAGGTATATAGGTAGGAGTAGAATACTAGGTATAGGTAGGAGTATAGTACTAGGTATAGGTAGGAGTAGAGTAGTATGTATGGGTAGGAGAAAATACTAGGTATAGGTAGGAGTAGAATACTAGGTATAGGTAGGAGTAGAATACTAGGTATAGGTAGACTTGTTTTTAATCGGATTTTCAAGATTGAGACCATTTTTAATATCTACGTACAATTTCCGATTCAATATGAGCCCAATTTAGGCGTGCAGATCAAAAAATGACAATTTTAATTGCTCATAAGGTTTTCTACTGGAGTGCAGTAGATTTGGTAAAAATAAAGATAATCTACGTGTTCACCAATTTGTATAAGGGTCTACAGATATGTCTGTAATCGGAATTTAAAGATTGGGATCATTGCAAGTTTTTTATTCAATGTTAGGTTACAGTTTATTAACAAATTATTAAAGTTAAAAATACAATATTAAGAAAATGAGCTCGCTATTTGTAAAATTTTAATTCATTTTGATGGTAAGTTCTTAGAATAGTTAGGTGCAAATTAACAACTAGAGCACCAAACTTGATTCTAAAATTGGAAAAAATGTTGAAACATGTTTTTGACCGTTTGTCAACAAAATGATAATCTTAAACATTTTTTCCATCAATAAAACGGGTTGTTTCTTTTTCCTAGATTTTAATTGAAGTTTTTTAGAATAAGAAATATTATTTTCAACATTCGAAATTCTTCTTTTTCATGCACTAAATTTACTCTGATAGTTTAATTTTACTCTATTCTGAATGAAAGGTCTGTAGATACTCTGTTTTCGTATGATAAAACATTAACCAAACATTTTTATGCTAAACTTTATTTAAAGCTAAACTAATTATTTGCCAATTATTTTAATCATTTCATTCATTTCATTCATGGTCCGGCTGCTGCTGCTGTTGTTGCGGTAGTTGTTGTTGGTGTTGTTGTGGTGGTGGTGGTGGTAGTAGTTGTAGTACAAGTACTAGCTGCAATTCCTATATATTTAAAAATAATTAACTCAATATAGTTTTGCATCCCTAACATTCGGATTTTATTTTATTTGATTTGAATACATATTTATAAAATATAATTTAGAATTAAGCTTTAATCATCTACAACTACTTCACAGGGAAGTTAATGGAATTTTACAATACCAAGGGTTCCCAAGACCAATTTTGCCTACAAAATATCCAGAGCGTAGCGAGGGATGTTTTGTTGGCAAAATTGGTCTTGGGAACCCGTGGTTAAGTAAAATTTTTAAATTCCCGGAAAAATAGTTGAACACATTTTTATCGTCTTTTGAGATGAAAATACGCGAATTTTTTATTTAAAACTTCTTAGAGCGGGTCGTTATTTTGCTTAGTTGTCCCAAGGCACGTAAAGTAACTTAACGTCCCTCTGTTAGGAGAATCACGGCCAAGTCGGTAATGTTTGTCAAGAGGCGGTAAAACTTATACCTGAGCAAGTGTATGGTCCGCATGTAAACAATCCCAAGAAACCACATCTTAAAAATTAGATTTAAGTATTGTAAATAATCTTTTAAAAATTGATTTTTTTGCCTATGTCGAATATAATTTTTTAAATTATATAAATTTTACCTTCCATTGCAGGTTGCAGAGCAGGATTGTCCTGAACAGGCTGAAGCACATTGTGATTGAGCAATCAGGCAGCAGAACCTGTTCTGGACTGCACGGTTGAAGTCAGAACTAAATTAATGAAGGGATTTTTCACAGATATCAGAAGTTTAGGAGATGTATAGGACACAAATCTTTGATTAACTTATTTACTTCACCATTTTAATTCATTAGATGTTGATGTTGATTTTTCAACACTTTTATCATTTCTAATTTGTTATATACGTTGTAAAAATGATTTTTCGATATTTCATCATTTCTAATTTGTTATATACGTTGTAAAAATGATTTTTCGATATGTGAGACGAAATATTTACTATTTAAATGAAATATTTGTATAAATAAACTGCTTTTCTCAATATATAAAAAAGTTTAATTATTCAAATTTTGCGGCTATTTATGTGAAGTATGACAATTTAAAAGTTGATTTTTTTTATCATCTAAGCAAACAGTCAGTTTAATATTATCAGATTTCACTGCATTCTTATCAAATCGTTGAATTCGTATCTAAAAAACCACCCTTTCCCATCACCTAAAAATAATTCTGCGGCTGCCCTGACAAAATTTTATTTTACTTTAAAGTCATCGTTTCAAATCAAATATTTAATGCTACAATTTGAAAGTGAATAGTTTTCTATTCCAAGAATACGTTTCTTAAATTATTGGTTTCAATGTAGATTTATTACCTGGATTTCTAGTAGAAATATGAACTGAATAAACATGATTTGGTACAACTATATATACTGCTAAACCCAACACCTGCTCCATTATATATTTTTTATACAATTTATTAAACTTATTACAAATAGAATTAAATCAATTTCCATACAAATATTTAATCATAGATATCATTGTGCTTAAATAGGTTTGTAATACAAAATTTAACTAAATTTACTACGCAATATGAGTCACTTTGGCTTTAAAAATACACTTTTATTCAATCTTTTTACAAATTTGTCAATTTTTATTCCAAAACTTAAAAATGATAAGAGTTAAGTATAAAATTATGAAGATGCTAAGATTAATGTAATATTACATCTTTTACACAGAATTAAAACAAAAACATCCAAGCTTTTTATCATTTCTGCGACTGTAGGGAGTAAAGCAGGGGCGTATATGGGGGGGGGGGTTATTGGGGTTAAGTACCCCTCCCCTAGAATCCTGGGGTTAAATACCCCCCCCCCCCTAGAACCATGGGGTTAATTACCCCGCCCCTAGAATTCTGGGATTGATTACCCCCCTTCCCCCAGAATCCTGAATAGCGGGATTACTTACTTACTGCCCCTACAACTCCAAAAATAATCATTCCCTGTTGATTAGTCTGCTTTAACACCTTTTAAGGAACATGTGTAAAGACGACTATTTTCAAGAAAATAGAAGTTTTTGGGGCATTTCGCTGTAAGCCAGTCTGAGAACTAGAAATTAGAATCACACAGACAAAATTATTTCAAAGTTTTCCAGAGTAGCTTTTCGTAAAGATTAGTAATATGAAGATTTAAAAAAGTAACATCTTTTTTCTCTTAGAGTAAAATTATTATATATGTTAATATGTATATTGTATCATATTTTTACACATAACAAAAATATAGTTAATGTAAAATTAATGATCGACTATAATGAAGGATATGAAATGATGTGAAAGATGAAGGTTAGGAAATGAAGCCTTTATTTGATAGAGTTTGTTAATGACAAAATTGATTGAAAAATTTATATGAAATTCAACTAAACCCAATAATTTGATATACATCATAAGAGGAGGTATGTATTTTTCTAGGGGGGGGGGGGAAAAATGTTTGAGGGGGGAAACATATTTTAAATTTTAAATTTTCCCCCCCCCCCCCCCTTAGAAAATCCTTATATACGCCCCTGCTGAAACAAGTATAAGAAAAATTGTGAGGAAACACATATTAGATTTATTTTAAAGGTTTTTAGGGTTTGATTAGTTACAATTGATTTATTTGCATTTGATGTTCGAGAACCGTATATCTGCAATCAAACCTATTAAATCTAAAGAAAATGTCAATTTTCACTTTTCTCGGAAAAAAATATGAAAAAAAACCTTAATTTATCACCAAACAACAGAACTCAAATTTAGCAGAACTTTTTTACTAAAATATAAATGAGATTTAAATTTGGCTTGAAACGGCTTGAATTGGCAGTATGTATTCATATTTGTATGTTTCACAGTAAATAAACATTTTTTTGAAGATATTTAATGATCTGTTAACTTATGGTCAAATAAACATATTAGGTTTTATATTGAAAACAGCTGCACAATGTAATTAATAGTTAATTTTCCAGAGACAGATTAACTTAAATTTAAGATTAAGGTAAGCGTAATTTCAAGTGACCCTCCATGCAGAGACGGCAGTGCAAGATTAATGTTGCCCTTGAAACCTCTGTCTCAACAAGTATGAATCAGATATCAATGTTTTTGTTTCTTAAAAATGTTTATTTTCATTAGCAGTTGCTCTGTGAAAATGACTTGCGTACTTTTTGCTTACAAGAAGCCAGAAGGAACAAAGAAACTCCAAGAAATAAACACTTTTCGAGTATAAAAAACGGCAGTATCTTTAACATATTTTAATCAGATTAAGATATCAAGGGTATTGTTGTGAATCCGGCATTCCCATATCTATATGCATGGAAGTTCACTTGAAATTATGGGTACAGTCTCTTTAAAAAGAAACAAACTTTAGAAATTTTGTTATAAAATAGAACTTAATTTTTGCCACAAACTCAAATTTTCTAACTTGATCTATACTTTGAAACTTGTGGTGTAAAACTTTGATATTTCAAACTTGGAGATTTTGACTTCATAATTTGAAATATCATCGGGTTGCAAAGACATGGGAAGTGTTGAATCAGAATTTGTGGCAAAAATTCAGTTACTTTTTGTCATCTTAACATGTTTCTGTGCTGACACAAAAAAATACTTACTTTTTCTTAAACGAAATGAGTTTAAAGCACACTAGATGTAAGATTTTGATACCCAACTACAACCATAGTTTTTACTAAGCTGATTTTGTATAAGATATAGTAGTGAAGCCATTTTATGAATCCTTAGGGTTTTCAGCGGACAAAGGCTTTCTAGAAAAAATGAGGAATTTCGCGAAATTTTGTTTTTCGTATTTCGCAAAATTTTTCGCAAAATTGCACATTTTTTTCGGAAATGAATTTTGCGAAAGTAAGCAAAATGTTCACATTTTTTGTTTTATTTTCTCCGAACTGAATGCAAAAAATGCGAAATTTTCGCGAAACGATTTCTCTTTTTCGCAGTAAAGAATTTTAAAGGGACAGACCGGCTATGCAAGGTGGTTGAACTAAGGATTCAGTCCTGAAAGACAAACTCCGGAAAGACAAACTCCTAAAAGACAAACTCCTGACAAGACAAACTCCTGAAAATACAAACTCCTGAAAGACAAACTCATGAAATTATGAAATTTTTCTCTGAATGAAATATGATAAAATTCATAAACTTTAGGAGAAAAAATCCGCAAATATTCTAGAAAAATTCTCAATCTTTAGTAATTTGAATATGCTTCAAGCAGCAAAGTATTACAATGATCAGAATAACCAGCAAATTTATTATTATTTATTTTTTATTATGTAGGGTTAGGTTAGGTTAAGACACTTTCTGGGCCGAGCGCTGCGGCTAGGACAGGCTAGGGGGCCGAGCGCTGTGGCTAGGACAGGTTAGGGGGTCAAGCGCTGCGGCCACATGGTCAATTATATCTATGTCTAACATATAAGATCCATGTACAAAATTGATAGAGGAAATTACCTAATTGTATAATTAGAATAGAATATAATTTAGATTTAATTGTTTTAAAATTTGATATTATGGAGTTTGTATTTCAGAAGTTTTTATTTTCAGGAGTTTGTCTCGTCAGGAGCTTGTCTTTCAGGAGTTTGTCTTTCAGGAGTTTGACATGGCGCCATATAAATCTTTTTAAAGATCTGTAAATCCTGAGATGGAGCGCAAAGTCGATGTTCAAAATCATACTTTTGGGTGGATACGTTTTCAGAATTGTTTTTTTTTTAATTATTAAATAACGACGACAAAAAATGTAAGCAATTATCCTACAGTAAACCAAGAATTTAATGCAAGGAAAGTTAATTGCGGTCGTGTATACTCTGCGTACATATTGAAACCAGTTCTCTTTGGTCGGAATTTGTAAACAAGAATAGATGCATCAGTGTTCGTTTAGTATCCGAGGAGGTTAAAAGCATTAAATTTGATAATTTTGATAATTCACATAATAGTTTCCTATGATCAGAATATCTCATTGATTTTTTTATGTGAAAGATGGATCCCATGTCAGGCTTTGACATCCGTCTTGTGTTTACATTACCGCCCATGGAGACAGTACACTGCAGTACAAAATATGTGTACACTTCTGAAATAACTTTCCTTGCGTTACATCCTTGCAGTAAACTAAGAAGTTGTTTAGGAACAAGTTGAGAAAATAAAAATTAATCTTATCATCGAAAATAAGTAAGCTATTTCAATTATTAGTTTCTATTTTCTCATAATTCTAGTTTCTCATTATTCACAAAGATTTTCTGCAGATTTTCTGGAATAATCATTGAAAAGACGATATTTGAAGAATTTGTAGAAATCTGCGAACAAATTCATAGAAAATAAGAAATTCAATATAATGATGAAACCATCTAATTAGTTAACTATAGAATTTTTAATTTATTTTTAATCGTCGTTATTTAATAATTAAAAAAAAACAATTCTTAAACGTACCCACCCAAATTCATGATTTTGAACGTCGACTATACACTCAAATTCAGCAATGATACATCGTGGAAAAGTTCTATAAGTCTCAAATGAATCCTAAAGAATTTGTCCACAGCACTGCATACTCAGTTTAACTACCTTACATAGCCGGTCTGTCCCTTTAAGGGTGCCGTTGTGAATCGGACATCAATGAAGAGTCACTTGAAATTACGTTTACTGACCCTTTAAAACTTTAAGAGTAAAAGGTTATTAAAGTTTTAGGATTCTATTCTGAACCATAAAAAAGATAATCGATAAAATTTCTTCAAAAGAACAAATTCAGTGAGCATTTTGGCATTTACGCAGTTTATTTGGACCTCTAACTTGTTTTGCAACACACCCTTTTATTATTTAGGAAAATTTGAAAGCCTAATATTTTCTGTTAAATAATTTTTACAGAAAAGGGAAGGTGAATTCTTATTTTATTTTCCTTTTTTCATGTCTTTTGGATGAAAAAAAAAACCTTTGAATTATTACAACATTTTGAGAGCCATCATTTTCAAAATAAAAATTATGGCAAAAAAGAGGGTTGAGCTTAAGATCTGTTCATAACACACGAGTTTTTAATTCTGCATAAAACTTAGATTTACATCATATATCCCCATAAAAAATATAGCAATTAAAATAAAGAGGGTGTTTAAAAATGAGTTTTTTTGTTTACTATTTAATCAAACATATTTTCTGGTTAATGATTACAAAAAGTAGTTGAAAATATTGATACATTTATTTATATATTCACATTTTTTTATTGTTAGATTAATGGTAGATTTTATACAATTTAAAGGGACTGTCATTGTAATCTTATTGTGACAAATGAAAATAATTAGTTTTTCACAAGAAAACTTGGATATCTGAATCATACTGTAGATCAGACAAAGCTAAAGGTGCCTTTGTGATCAGACAAATCTAAAGGTACCTTTGTGATCAGACAAAGCTAAAGGTACCTTTGTGATCAGACAAATCTAAAGGTACCTTTGTGATCAGACAAAGCTAAAGGTACCTTTGTGATCCGACAAAACTAAAGGTACCGTTGTGATCAGCCAAAGCTAAAGGTACCTTTGTGAACTATGATTGTGAATCGGACTTAACACTTTATAAATGGGAGGTCCCTTGAAATTACGTTTAAAGTTCCTTTAAGAAGTATGAAATAAGCTGAAGCATTTAAGTCTACTATGACGACAATGTTTATCTCTCATCACTATAAAGTTTAAACAAATGTACAATTCACAGATTTAATTTTTAAACTTTGTAATTATAAAAAGATTTCTCTCTGACCATAAGCAATCCATCTTCATTTCAAGTTTTCCATCTTGTTTTAGCGACCACCTGTTAAAGTCACTCCACCAATGTTGACTGAGCCTGTGTTAGTAGTTCCAGTCGCAGTAGTTGAAGTACAGGTGCTTGAAGCAATTCCTGAAATATGTAAAATGAGCCTTTCACACAAACTTATATTTTCTAATCCCTATATCTTTGCAACCTAATATTTCAAACTATGCATTTTGTTTGATCAAATAGTCTAAGTTTGAAATATCAGTGGTTTACACTATCAGGTTACAAAGATAGTAAGAGAATTTGGGTTTGTGGCAAGACTGGAGTTCCTTTCCATTGTATGATTTCCTGCAACCTAGCCGCTCATCTCTAGTTTTGATTTTACGCCAAGTTTAAAAGCATCGAATTTTTATTATTTTCAAGAAAACTTTAATAAGAGAAGGTATGATTAAAAACATGTAAGATTTCAATATAACCTAAAAAGAAACATACGAGTCTTTGCGACAAACCAAAATTTTCCAATCATTATATCTTTGCAACCTGATTGTGTAAAACCTTTGATATTTAAATCTTAAATTTATTGATCTAACAGAATTCATACATCGAAATATTTCAGGTCAACAAGTGACGACATTGGATTTCAAAACTAAACATTGGGATGCAAAAATCAGAGTTTGTGGCAAAGACTAAAAATAACGGAAAAGAATATTTGGAAAACAATTTACTTGATTACCTACAATTAGGGTTTCCGTCGAAAGAAAACTTTTGCGAAAAATGCGAAATTTCGCATTTTTTTACAAGAATGCATTTTGAGAATTGATGCGAAAACGATGCGGAACTTAAATTTTTTTTTTTCGCGAAATATGCGAAATTCTTTATTTTTTCTATGAACGGAATGCAAAATTTTAGGCGAAAACAATATTTAAATTCCAGTTTAATGCAGTGTGCCAAGCCTTTCGGAAAACAGCTTTTGCATATCATATGGGAGGGCCAATATATTTTTAGATCGTCTTCGCCGGTGTGCAGCACACGTCTTCCAACAAACAAGTAAACTGAATATATAAACATGGGATCCATACAACTGGCAATAGATGGACGACATTTAAGAATAGAAATGTGAATTTTATAATCAGAAGCTTTAAAGTGAAATGAGTCTGTGTACAGAACAGACTGTTCAAATCATGACATTAATCTAAAAGTCGTCATCCTGTTCTACAGTTTTATAGCTATTATGTATGTGTGATATACGTAAAGATTTACACCCTGAAAATGCAAACCGGTCCTTTACCTGAACAAGTGTAGGGTCCGCAAGTAATTAGTCCAAGAAGTCCACATCTAAAAACAACAAGAAAAATGTATTTATAAAATTTAATGAAATAATGTTGGGCAACGGCTACAGTTTAATATATTCTTTTGGCTTTCAAAAGGCCCCTTCAAAACCTAAGTTAATATTTTGTATTTTCTAAAAGTTTGATTTTTGACAATATTTGTCAAAAGTATTTACTCTGATATTATAGCAATAATAATAAAACTTAAAATAATAATAATNTAGTTTATAAATCTATAAAGTGTTTCTGAATATATACATTTTTCAGTAAAAATATGAAAAATAATATCGAAAGTTTTAAATTAATTAACAAAAAATCGTAATTTTTGTGCACATAGAATTTATGAAAAAAAAAACTTTTTTAATTTATAAGTCTTTTTTTCACGTTATCAAGATAAAAAAAAATTAATTTGTCACAATCTCGCTGGTCATTGGGTACTATTTATATTTAATTAAAGGGACTGTACTATTTATATTTAATTAAAGGGACTGCATAAGCGTAATTTCAAGAGATTTACAAACCATACCCTTGAAAGTGGAAACCTTACGTAGATAAATATATAACGATCTGTCATCCCCCAGTTTTCCAGGGATAGGGCCAGGGGACGTCCCCCCAATTTTCCAGGGGGGGGACGTCCCCCCTTTCCCTCCATAAGCCGCCTTCGGGGCTAAGCCCCTATAATATTTTTCCTTACTAATAAAATAATACCCAGCTAGCAACATACAGATTTCGGCTATACCGCCTCGTATATACAACAGGTTTTGCCAAAGTTGGGCGTTAAGCTACGATCATCAGCTAAACGGCCCCCACCAAGATCTGTCGTAAATGCAATGTAGTATGTATGACAGCGCAGATATATCTGTTATCTGTCAACAAATGTATAGTAGTTGAACTGAAAATGTAATATTGTGGAGAAATGTTTTAGGTTTCATTTAAGACATATAAAACGTTTAAAAGGTGTACAATTACTGAGTTTGGGCGCAAAGTCGACTTTCAAAATCATCCATTTGGGTGGTTACGTTTTGAGAATAGATTTTTTTTAATTATTAAATAACGACAAAAAATGTAAAAAAATTTTACAGAAAATAAAAATGATCTTTTGTCATCGAAAATAATTAATCTAACTCAGTTCTTAGTTTTTGTAATGTCTCATTATTCACAAACATTTTCTGTATATTTTCTGGATATTTTATTGAAAAGATATCATTAGAAAAATTTGTAGAAATCTGCGAACAAATTCGTAAAGAATGAGAAATTAAATATAATGATGAAAAAGAAAGAATTGATTCTAACATTGATTTATTTACAAACTTCTATTGAGAAACAAGTTCCTAAACATTAAATTAGTTTACCGTAGAATTTGTGATTTTAATTTAATTTGATTATTTTAATTTTTAAAAATCTATTCTCAAAATGTAACCTGCACCCAAATGGATGATTTTGAACGTCAACTTTGTGCTCAAACTCAGTAAGTATACATCATTAAACATTTTTGTATATCTCAAATGAATCCTAAACAATTTCTCCACAATATCACATTCTCTGTTCAACTACGAAACATTGCCGGTCACTCCCTTTAAGATTTTTTTGGTCTAAAATTGTTAATAAAATAACTAATATCAAACTGTAAAAAAATTGTTGTCTCTATATGAAAGATATATGAACCTATGAAAAAGTGAAAATCTACTGCACATATTGCATATTGTGCATTATTTGTTTAACTGGAAATCCTTCTCTTAATACTAATCATGGATTGTCCTCATCCTCTCATCAAAAAAAGGATCACTCCCATTAATGAAAGTTTCACCTTTTGACCTGAACCTCAAGTTGAGCATGAGCAATCTCAAAGGTTACTGCGCAGAAAAGAACACAACAGGCGACATAGAACTTCATTCTAAACAGTGTTTTTTTTTCAGAAAAAATTGTTAATTAGTCTTGAATCATACATAAAAAAAAAAAAATAAAAAGGGTGATTTTTAAAAAAGATTCTTAAAATTTTTTTTGACTCTATTCATTCTGGAAATGGGGTTGATGCCTGGATTTTTTTTGCTAAACGAAAATTCTATTCTTAGCCTTGTCGGTGATTTCAATAATTTTTTGCCTTTTTGTATCGCCCAGGTCAAGGGAAGTAATCCAAACTACCATTTTTGAAAAGTAAGTTTTAAGCATAAAGTGAAATTGCAATTTTTTAGTTTTTCTTATAAGTGATTACGCACAGGTCTTTGAATTTGTTACAATTTTATTTGCATGTTTGTTATAGCATCGTCAAGGCTTTTCAAAAAGGTAAAATCTAACTTTTTTCATAACGTCGGGTTGCAAAGATAGGGGGGTTAGGAAATCTAAGTTGGTTGGAAGAAATCAATTCCTTTGTATATTAGTAAATTAACTTGTAAAACCCCAGCACAGTTTTTGTGAAAAAATTCTCGGATTTTTTTCATAAGACAAAGAATTTTTAATGACTACTTTTTTACAGATTGTTGCTTACCTGTTAGAGTGTTAACTAAAGAAGAGGACTTAAAACTAGTTTTATTTATAAACATCCAGGGATAACACTTGAGGTTAAATGTATTGTGTGAAATATATTGAATTTAATCTGGACAATAAGTTTAATGTATTTCAATATTTAGAAATATTATTTAGCCTGCAGTGGCCGAAAAATAAAAATAAATATTAAATTTTGATAAAACATGTGTTAAAAAGGAACTGAAAACTTGCCTCAAGTCTTTATTTTCTTTGAAAATTGGTGATGTAAACCTTAAATATTTCAAACATAAATTTTTAATCCAGAATTTATAGTTTGAAATATCAATATCTGTAAAATCATGTAAGTAATATATACCTATTTGAACATTTTTTTTAATGTTTATTTTATGTTATATCGGATTCTCTTTTAAAGACGATCGTGCTTTTGTAATTTTGTTACGCTTCTGATTGTATAAGAAGTACATTTGAATTTTTAAAAAACGTGAAAACGGGTAAAGTATTTAAACATAAACGTCAAAGCACTCGGGTTTCAAGCTTTATCGGTATCCTTGATCGTAATAAAAGTATTTATAGTTTATAAATCTATAAAGTGTTTCTGAATATATACATTTTTCAGTAAAAATATGAAAAATAATATCGAAAGTTTTAAATTAATTAACAAAAAATCGTAATTTTTGTGCACATAGAATTTATGAAAAAAAAAACTTTTTTAATTTATAAGTCTTTTTTTCACGTTATCAAGATAAAAAAAAATTAATTTGTCACAATCTCGCTGGTCATTGGGTACTATTTATATTTAATTAAAGGGACTGTACTATTTATATTTAATTAAAGGGACTGTACTATTTATATTTAATTAAAGGGACTGCATAAGCGTAATTTCAAGAGATTTACAAACCATACCCTTGAAAGTGGAAACCTTACGTAGATAAATATATAACGATCTGTCATCCCCCAGTTTTCCAGGGATAGGGCCAGGGGACGTCCCCCCAATTTTCCAGGGGGGGGACGTCCCCCCTTTCCCTCCATAAGCCGCCTTCGGGGCTAAGCCCCTATAATATTTTTCCTTACTAATAAAATAATNTCAAGTTCTATATAGTTTGATATAATCCTTATTATATTTCTTCTTATTGTAACATATCTTCAAGTTCTAATAGTTTGATATAATCCTTATTATATTTCTTCTTATTGTAACATATCTTCAAGTTTTTTAGAGAGGATTAATCTAGAATGACTTGACTTTCCTCATAAAGTCGAAAACGAGAAAATATTTAAAATTTTTTCAGAAATTATGCACGAAGCGCCAAAGAAAATTTTTGGTATTTATTCTTCAGTCGTCTTGCAACTGTCATGTTTCGTAGGACACCCTGTATATCAGAAATATGGAGTATATACTATATACATACTATGGTGGTACATAATTACTTCGCCATTGCACCTACGACAGATCGGGATCGATATATTAGAAATATTGATTATAATGGTGGTAAATAACTCCACCCTCGCACCTATAACGACAGAGTATTTACGGCGGAGATACAGAGCGTCCCATATATTAGTTTGAACGCCAAAATAAATCCATAATACTCTAAAAAACCTCGCATTTTCCCCAAGAAAATTCTTAAATTAGCCTTATTCAATTTTGCAAAACAATTAATTCTTCTTAAATTTTCTGATTAGTCCCGAAAATCGTAACTTAGACCGATTGACGATCTAATATGATGTGGCCGTGGGACACCCTGTATAGTGTATGTGGAGTATATGGATTCATGTTTTAAGGGAATTACTGTAATATTATACAGTGTACGCTCAGGAAACACCTATTTTCAGGGATTAATTTTTCTAGTTTAAATTTCACGATTTAACATTTTTCCCAAATTTGTAATTGGGAACAAGTTTATTTATATTCAGATTTTTTAAATGCAGGAAGAACATCCCTGCAACTATCTGGTCCTAGTTTAGTTAGTACAGTACCGGCCTTTCTCCTCAACAGTGCAGTGGCTGCCTAGTATTCAGTAGCTACCTGCCTCTTCCCTCACTTTTCTCCTCATAACATCTTAAACAATTATTGTTTATTTAGGTTTTTAACCACAAGTAAAGATCTATTTTTGATGACACCTAGTGTTTATTTAAAGGGTCTTACACTTAAAAATTAGATGTTTAAGAATAATTAATAATTATACTGAGAGTTATTTATAAATATTGCTCATTTTTTACAAGATCTACGAAAAATACTATTGTTGTTATTATTTAATCAGTCATTACAATTTTGAATTTGATATTCTAGAATTCTAGATTAGCTAATCGGAAAGTTTACGAACAATTTAATTAATTCAGTGACCTAAAAACGGGGTCCGTCCTAGTATACGATTTTTGGACTCCCTAGCTCCTTGCCCCCCCGCGCCGCTTCTATCAATTTTGTACATTACTTATTATTTTGAGCAAAATTATTATTGTTTTTATTATTTTAGGGTTAGGTTAGGTTAAGACATTTTCTGGACTGAGTGCTGCAGCTAGGACAGGCTAGGGGGCCACATGACAAACTTTATCCACGTGTTAAATATGACCTGAATGTAAAAAAATTGATAGGAGGGGGGGGGGGGTGCTCCAAAAATAGTCTTCTAGGAAATTTCCCAATCGCCTAAAATTACTATGATGGTCTATTACATGTCTTTCCCAAACATGTCTTTTCCAAATTAATGTGATAGATATTTACATTTTTCTTTCAGATAATTGTTCAGTTTTGAACCTTAGTGTTTCTTCTAACATGGTGTACACATGAACACAGGGAGCCTAGACCCCCTGTTTGGGGGCGTGGATGGGGAAGGAGTCCTGCTGCCGGAGGGGAACCACCTCCCCCTCCACCTCTTTGATCTCCAGCATGTCGAGCTGGAAGAGGGGGAGGGGGACGGATCATCAGTGGCTGATAGTGAAGATTGGACTAAGGTGGCATTATGGTTCAGTCCAGGGGCGTGTTCAGGAATTTGTCCAGGGGGGGGGGGGTTAATTTTTTCTTTTTATGGGGGTGGGGGGAGGCTGCCTGAGTCACCATAGCCCTGAATATACCTCTGGTTCAGTCCAAGTTCAGGGGATATTAGTTCCAAAACTAATATCCCCTGAAACGCGATTTTAATTATTTTTCAACTTAAAATTGATATTTGTTTTGCATTATTTCTCAAGAATTAGTGTTTGTAATCATTGATTTATATTAATATTGATGAAAATTTATGAAACGAATTAACTTAAGTTGTCAAAACTTTCTATAAAATATGAAAAAAATCTTTATTTTAAATGAATCATTATTTTTGCACTGTTAAGCATACACACTTGTTACTTTTTAATTGTTTTTCAGATTTTTTAAAAAAATAATTTTTATTGAAGATATCTTTCTATGGCTTTTGGAATCACAATTTTTCTTCAATTTTTTGAATATTTCTGTTTTGTTTGATGTTAACTTTGGGAGAAGAACAAACCTCTGCCTGTTAACAACTTCACTCTTATCGTTCATGACATTATTTTGTCGGATGAATTTTTTACATCTTTCTTGGTTTTCCTTTTTCACTGTTTTTTTTCGCGATTTTTTTAAAAACAAGAAGCATATCCTCCGTTTTTTTTGTATAATTTTGAATATCAGTTTTAATTATATATTATTGTTTTGCAGTATGATGAGAAGGATTGGTGTACTGAGGGGGGCAATGTTGAAGTTGATCAAACACCTCTGCAAAACCAACTCAAGAAAAATAAAGAATGTAAGAAATATAATTCCTCTGTATTTTTGATTATTGAAGATACTATTTATACTTTATTGTGCATCTGAAACTTTATTGGAATTTTTTATTTTACTTATTTCATTAATTTAATAAAATTCTATTAATTTTGTTTATCACTCAGAATAGAAGAATTAAAACATGGGTGTTTAATGTATTTTAACGACTTGCAAATTTCACCTGTTCTTCCAAATTTTTGAGCATTTGATATCATCAGAATTTTGAGCACCGGAGCTCAGAACTTTTTTTAAAATATCGTTTATATCTTGAACGCTTGAATCGATATTCAATGATAACACTTTTAAATTGGATCTATGCTTGATCCCTTTTCTTTAAGTTATCCCTGCAAGGTATGATCATGTCGGGATATCCCTGCAAGCGGGATATCCCTGCAAGGTATGATCATGTCGGGATATCCCTACAAGGTATGAACATGTCGGGATATCCCTGCAAGGTATGATCATGTCGGGATATCCCTGCAAGGTATGAACATTTCGGGATATCCCTGCAAGGTATGAACATGTCGGGATATCCCTGCAAGGTATGATCATGTCGAGATATTTCTGCAAGGTATGAACATGTCGGGATATCCCTGCAAGGTATGAATATATCGAGATAGCCCTGCAAGGTATGAACATGTCGGGATTTCCCTGCAAGGTATGAATATCCCTGCAAGGTATGAACATGTTGGGATATCCCTGCATGGTATTAACATGTCGGGATATCCCTGAAGGTATGAACATGTCGGGATATCGAAGTGGAATTGATGTAATCCGTAGATCAGTATAAGATGGAGATCAACGCTTGATCCATAGATTTACAACAACAACAAAAAGACACGATTTTTTTCTCGAAAAATATTTAGTTAATTTTATATTTTCTAAATTTCGTTACTGCGTTATACTTTTAATGTCGTCTAAATATATATATAATTTGACAACCAAAGATAAGACATTTGTTTGTGTTCTCCGTTTGAACTCAATGGTATTTTGTATTGATAACTTTAAAGCGTTCAATTCCCTGAAAGTTTTATGTTCTGAAAAATTTAGCCATTTTTAACATAGCTAAAATGTACAAAAACTCAGAACATTCAAGATGGCGACAAGTTTTACTATCAAGTTTTTATACATATAAGTTTGAAGTTTTAAGAAAAATGATTTTCTAGATTTGAAATTTGAAATTATTGTAAACATTTTTTAAAGCCTGATTGAGGTTTTAAAAAATTTTTATGTAAGACCAGGTCAGCTGTTCCGTATTTTAATATTAAAAGTATATTTGCCCCATTATTGCCCTATCAAACTACAATAAACGAGGAATGCGTTTATACAAATTCAGCTTAGTGTTGATACTAACATCTAGTTCAACCAATTTACTCAATTATTAAATTAAATACTTCAATGTTTAACATTTTCTTCGATTATGCGAGATAAGGTATTCAATATAAGATATAATTTAAGATAAGGTATTTATTATTTGTGCAACCCCCCCCTCTCTTACCCAAGTGTGTGTGGGGGGGGGGGGCTGGGGGGTAAAATCTATAATGTTATTTGTTTAAACTCTTGTCATGAGACTAATGTTTATGGACTTTAAGTGACAATGCTTTTAACCTTGTCTGTCCAATGTGACATATTATATACATTTTTACTGCCTTTTTATTTATTCAGTTACACTGCTGATTATCGTTATCCATTAAATATTTCCTTAAATATATTTTTAGTTATTGAATTAATATTTTTGGATGAAAAATGCATTTTCTAAAATCTAAAATATCTATTAATTTTATTTATGGGATCAATTTTTCTAGATAAATATTTAGAATTTAAAATAAAAAATAGTCAATAGTCAATGGCTAACTGATACATTTTATTTTAGCACTGGCTGTAAAGCTTAAACTACGACGACCAATGACTGCCCTGGTTGAACAAGGAATAATGCCGGAATACAAGGTGATTATAAACTTTTTTTTTCTACATTTTTTAGAATTGTAGAAAAATAAGAAAAATTTTGTGAACTAATGCTTTTCTCATGGGCACATTTTTTAACGTCTCCCCTCCGACACATGCAAGATGAAGTTTGGTTAAGCGTTTGTCGTTGTAATTTGCAGTGACCCTTCATTTAAAGGAGGGTCATGTCCGATTAACAACGGTGCCATATTCTGATCATTTATCCGGGAGTTAATGTCATTTCTAGTTTGAAAAGTTTTAAATTATTTTGTATACAAATCAAGGCGGTTGCGGTCGTAAAGAAAGAGGAGATATTAAGATTTTAGAAATGATTCCTTATTCTAGACTTCCCCTTCGCTTCACGAGCAGAGGACTAAGCTTGAACGGGCCCAGATGGGAGACAGGCTGAGGCAGAAGATCGCCAGTAGGCCTGACAGGCAGGAGCTCGTGCACAGGCATATTCTCGAGGATGTCAGGCCTGATGTTGACCCCTCGCTGTGCTCACGACAGCGTCAGCTCAAGCGCGCCAAGCTGGCGGATAGTTTAGCCAGTCAGCTCTCACATAGACCTGGTCCTTTAGAGCTCATTCAGAAGAACATTCTTCATACAGGTAGATGGGGGTTTAAATGGGAAAAATAATTTTAAAAAAAAATGTTTTCCCCAGAAGTTAAATATCTTTAGGGATTTATTCGCTGAATTGAGGGCAAATGATTTGTAATTGAAAATAATTTTTTGGGGGTGTGAAAAGTTGCCATTTGATTCAATTTTTCGTTTTCTCACCCCAAATCATCAGAAATCATTCCCCCAAACCCAAATGCGAGGGGGGGGGGGTAATTTTGAAAAATGTACACCGCGCAGTATATTTTCTTGAATAATCATTCATTTGGACGATTTTTGAGTATTTTATTTTGTGATTTTTATTTATTTTCCTTAACATGAGGTCAAAAACTAAAATAATTTTACTCTAGCACTTCGTTGTAAATACATGTTATTAACAGATTCTAGGATAAACTTATAATTTAATGATATATATATGTATGTTCAGCCCAGCACAAATATCCAAGTGCAAAAGAAACTTTGTAATCTATTTTGTGTGTTTCATCAAGTTCACGTTGTTCTATTCTATTCTATTCTATTCTATTCTATTCTATTCTATTCTATTCTATTCTATTCTACTAGAAATTCAAGGCGCTTCGCGCCCTTCTTTCTAGCTTTAGAGGGCGCTTCGCGCCCATCTTCTAAATTAATTGTGAACATGTTCTCTTTGTGTCGCGGATTTTCACAAAAAATTTCGCGGATTTTCAAAATTTTTTAAAATTTAATGACGATCAAATTTTGATGGAGACAAATATTTGAAATTTTGATTTTTCATAAACCTTCCCTGGGGTCCCTAGATGTCCCACAAAAAATTTGGGCCCGATCAGTTCAGCCGTTTTGACGTTTATTGGATACAAACAAACAAACAGACAGTATTATGAGCTAGGTCTCTTTTATATAAAAAATTGATGATTCGCTCCTTTCCCTCACACACTTCTTTCTCTTTCAACACACTGATTGAATTTTGAGTACCCGAACACCGAAAGTTAAAATAAAGGCCGTATATTTATATATTTTTGTTGTTGTCATTTCAATAACTTAATTTATCTTGCACATTAAAAATCAAATTTAAAATCAAGTGTTGTAATTTTTACAAAAAAAGTTTTAAAAAGTTGTTTTCAGCAATGTCGGCTAGAATCTTAAAAACTATTCTTCCATCTGCCTATATCGTTTTTAAAAATAATAATAAAAATAAAAATAGATTTGAAGACAAATGAAACGCCACCTCAGTGTCTCCTAAACCTAACCCTTAGCTTTTACATTTGACTAAAATTCCCCTTGAGCTGAAAGTCGTTGACACTGATTTAATGGCACTACGCGGGCCGAGGGACTGAAAAATAATAAGATGCTTTCCACACAGGCATAAATATTGTTTAAGAAATATATTTTCAATTGTCAATAGATTATCCATTTTATATAAATATCATGTGTATACATAAACATCTAAAAGGAAGGTTAAACCAGAAGAGGAAAAGATTGTATAACTTAAAATGAAAACATCCAAAGGAAAACATTCGAAGGAAAACATTTCCTTTGAAATAAGAAAAAAGCGTTTACCATAAAAAGTTTTTGTATTATTTTGGATACTTAAATAAAAACGTGAAAATGAGAAAATAAGGTTCAAGAACAAGACATTTTTTTGTGTTAGATATGGGGGGGGGGCAAAGGTGTATAATTTTCAGATGATTTTTGATGATTTGAGGGAAAAAAATGAAAAATTGAACGTCAAAAGGCAACTTTGTTTATACTCTTTTATACTTTTTACCCAAAAATTATTTTATTCAAGTTTCTTAACATATTTTTACTTTTCAGTATCTGATTTACACAGTGACAGTAGTTCCTCTAATATACCGGGTTTGTTGTCTCAAACCTCTGAGGTTGGTCTATACGAGGCTGGAGGTCGTCTGGTTTATGTACGTCAGGTGTCAGAGTGTGAAAACGAGGTTTTTCTTCAGAATAAATCCTCACGGAGCGAATCCCTCGGAGATATCAATGCAAGGTAATCTTAATAATAAACCTACACCTTCATCACGGTTGCGGTCAAACTTGACAAATTGTATTTGTTCCGTAGAAATATCCATACTTTTAAAGCATATTTAAGGGGACCGTAAGCGTAAGTTAAAATGACCCTTTATGAAAGATGGCAATGCCCGATTCACAACAGCACCCCCTTTATCTGATTAATAATATGGAAAATATTTTAGTTATTTTTAAGTATAAAGTGTTTCTTTCAATAAGCTTTCCTGCAGTAAAAATGCGCGAGTCACTTTTTTAGAAAAATCGCAATTGAAATAATTAGTTTTCAGAATTATGTAACTAACAGTAGATAAAAGGCCTGTAGTTACCCGTGGACGAAAAAAGAATTGAAAAATCCCCCAAAAATACATTTTTTTGCCTATGTCACCCCCAGGCTACCCGGATGATTGTCCACACAATATTTCAGCCCATTCGGTCCAGCTGTTTGTCTGGCTATAGGGAACATATATTCGAATGTCGCTTTATTATATAGATATCTAATTGAACCAACAAAGGTTTTAGGGTTACCGTTGTGAATCGGAGGGTAATTTAAAATTAAGCTCACAGTCCCTTTATTATTTATATATAAGAAAACGTTTAAAGGACGGTACTGTTCATCCCTATAAAAAGTGCCTAATTGTTTAATTTGTATTTTACGGGTAGGGTTTGATAATTACTGCCACCTGATTATTAGCCTTGGCTGAGTACTGACTTTTGAGAAAAAGAGAAATGTTCACATGTTGTAGACACTATTTTTATCAATGTTTCAAGGGAGAGTCCCAACTTTAATTGTATTTTTATCAAGGTTTCAAGGGAGAGTCCCGACTTTAATTGATCTTTTCTGTTATTTATATTCTGATAAAACAGAGATCAGGATTTTCCTTTGAATTTTAGGAATTCAATTCTACTCCCTCACTCACAGTGTTTAAATCTATTTCTGCTAGGTTACATTTATTTAATTTATCTTTGCTGTACTTTTATTTAGGTTTAGGTTTTTGGCAAATTTTTGGTGTAGTGAACAAACAAGCTTTTAAAGATGGTTGATAGGTTTAAAAGTTAATTAAAAGAGAGTATAAGCAAAAACAAAATTATATTTTCTTTCATTTTTATTTTTTTTAAACTCAAACACAAGCTTGACGGATTAATTTATTTATTGAATCATAATATCATACTGGAATGGATAAGGTTTCTTGAGATTGGTTCATGAATTTACAGATCATTTGCTTACTGATTGATTGATCGATCGATCGATTGATCGATTGATATATTGATTGATCGATTGATTGGTTAGATTGGTTTGATTGTTTTGATTGGATGCATTGATTGGATGCATTGATTGGTTGCATTGATTGAAGACTGATTGAAGACTGATTGATTGATTGAAGACTGATTGATTGATTGATTGAAGACTGATTGATCGATTGATTGAATACTGATTGATTGGTTAGATTGGTTTGATTGTTTTGATTGGATGCATTGATTGGTTGCATCGATTGAAAGCTGATTGATTGATTAAAGACTGATTGAAGACTGATTGATTGATTGAAGACTGATTGATTGATTGAAAACTGATTGATTGATTGAAAACTGATTGATTGATTGAAAACTGATTGATTAAAGACTGATTGAAGACTGATTGATTGATTGAAGACTGATTGATTGATTGAAAACTGATTGATTGAAGACTGATTGATTAAGTTTATTTATTTATTGTATGATTAATTGATTGATAAACTTTATTCTTGTTCAGGCCCCTTCAAAGTATTGGTGACCCTGAGTTAAGACTGTTATCCCGAAGTGGTAGCCTCGGAGGAGATAGTTTTGGATCTATTGGTGCAAACTCAAGCTTCGGAGGAAATTCAAGTTTCGGAGGAAATGTTAGCTTTGGAGGCAATAACAGCATCACCAACTCTAGCTTTGATGTAAGCTCGCTGGAGAGCCCGTCCTTTAGTTCAACTTCGTCTGGGGTAGGTTGATTCTGTTTTTTACCTTTAGTTCAAATTCGTCTGGGGTAGGTTGATTTTCTGTTTTTAAATCTTTAGTTCAACTTCTTTTTGGGTAGGTTGATTAGATGTTTATCTTTAATTCAACTTCTTCTGGACTTGGTTGATTTTCTGTTTTTTTAAATCTTTAGCTCAACATCTTTATATTTACGTGCTTTAATGCGGCCATTGAATTATTAATTTAAAAGCTCTTAAACAACTTGGGTGAAAAGCCGTTATTCTCAAATCTTTGTTTTAATCCCGGGCACAATTGGCTGAGTGATCAAATAGCGCTGGATTTAAAGTGAAAATTGATTATTTATTTTCTTAGAGCTTAGAGGTAGTTCAATAATATGTTGAACGCAATGTGTATGTATAATTAATATAATTTATTCATTTTTTTATTATTGTTTTTTTGTCTTCTATCCAGGTGAGCAGTTTGTCTGGGTTGAATGGGCCTAGTTTGCAACGTGATGCGCCGGGTAAAGAACGGAAAAAAGTAAAACTAAAGAAACCTGGAACAGCTCCTAAACCTCGCACAATTAAGTTCCATGAATACAAGGTAGAACAGATTAAGTAAAATAGAGCGTAAAAAGGCTATCGGTGTAATTTAAAGTGACCCTACATTAAACAAGGGTTAAACACTTGATCAGTGATGTGGAAGATATCTTCGTTTTTCTAGCCTAAAAGGTGACTGATTTACATTGCGTTTCACTTGTTCAAACTACAGAGAACCCACAATCAAACAGAAGTATCTAAAGTTAATTTATGAATATCTCATTCATTCTTCACCAGACACAAGTTTAAGGATATTGTTGTGAATTAGGCGTATATATACCCCTCTTAAAATTAAATTATTAAAACTATTACTTTATACCTATTGACATTACATGCCCCTGACCACTTAAAGGCTTAACTATTTGTAAAACAAAAGTTTGTATTTCAGAAAATATTTTTAAGTGCACACTGAACGCCAAAACTTTGAATATTATCAGTTTTCTAACAACAAAATTTTAAGTTTAAATTGAATTTCGTTTGAATTAATCTTTTTTGTTTAATCCTTTGTCCCACTACAATAGCACATTTAAATAGCCTTATAGTTGTTGGAACTTTGAAAGCTTGATACAGAAAGTTTTTTTTTAAGATCTAACGAAATTTGATTGAAACATCAGAGTAGATATAAAATTGTGAAAGGTTCATGCAATGTTTTTGATATTTTGATAAATTAGATTTCACATCTGTAAACTTTAAACTGTCCTAATTATCAAGGCTATTCGAATTTTCTTTCCCTTGATATTTATTTTTTTACTTTGAAAAATCAGAGGGCAAAGAGAAAGTTTACTTTCACATTTTATCGTTAAAAATATTCTATTCTTAGAGTGTATGTAGTTGGGGGAAATGTATTTGTCCCCTAGGTTGGGGAATTGATGGGGAAATCCCCTGTTCTTTCAAGCGGAAATTTTACGCGCTTGGGGAATTTAAATTTCCTCACATGTAATATTATATATATGTATATTGTATATGTGTGTGTATGCGTATATTCGCCTTATGATGCACTGTTTCAACTCAGCAATCCTTTCCTCAAAATCTTTTCTTTCTATTTTTAACATAATCAAATATTTAAGTTAAAAAGCATAAGAAGGCAAAATTATAATCTTTGCTGACAAAATGTAGAAAGTTAAAATATGGACTACTCTATCTCTCAAGTTAATTTTTGAATACTAAAATTCTTTTGCTGTTTACATACGGATTGAAAGCTTGGACATGCAATTTGGCCAAACGACAGAGCTTGGATCGGGATGTTTTCACTTCGAGTTATGTGTCGCATACTGTAATTTGCTTAGACAAATTAATTTATGATCATTTTCATGGTCCTTTCTGCCATTTGTATTTTTTTTTCATTTTTAGTGTCGACGTTTTACTGACTAAGATAATGGAAGAGGGGCCATGTTATTGAATAAGGAAATATTTAAAAGTTGTTTAACATTAATGTTGATATTTGAATCTTATTTATATTGAGGGTGATTTTTGAAAGTCATGTTCGTTGAAGCAAAACAAGATACAACAAAAAGATAATTTTAATATTTTTTAACTCATTATTTCATGACATTTGATCTCCAGCATTGTAAATCTTTCGCTTAGGGAGGCTCTCAAAAACTTCCGAACTTCGAACCCGATATTTGGACAATTTCACTTTTTTTCCATCATATGGAGGACGAATTTGATATTTTATAAGTTGGAATCGTATTCTACAAGATCTTCTCGTATATCAAGGGTACTTCTAAGTTCTTGCAAATTATACATTTAAAAAAAAACATTTAAGGGGAAACATTGAGAAAAATGCCGTAAAATGCTGTAATTTTGACACTGGTTGACCTGTTTTCGGGAGACCTGTAATATTTTTTTACTAGGTGTAGCCATTGATGCTTCGGTAATTTTCAAATGTCAGACAGTAATAATAAAAGGGAAGATTTGCTTATTCAATGTTGCGGATTTTTCATCAAATTAAGAAAAAATGAATAATATCGACTTAAAAAAAAATCTTCCTGTATACTGCATAATGTGTTAACACACACAAAGACAGTACACTAGAAAGTATCCACTGACCGTCTGATTATATGACGTTAGTATAATATTTTTATATCCTGTGTCCTTGCAAACTCTTTTTACATCTTTACAGGACATAATTTAGAACAGAGTAAGCAAAGCAATATATACTTTTTTATGTAGAACTCATTTGTTTTTAGGAAACTTAATGAACTCTATATTGTGCTACAGTTTCACACACTGACTTCACTTAAGAATTTTATTTAAAGCTTAAAAGCAAACTTATTTTATGAAACTGAAAAATTTTATTGTAGGTCTTTGTAATCACTTTTTATGTAAATCCCTAAACCCCATCTTTTTGATATTTTGTATTTTAGTTATATTTTCTCCATGGGTTCGTATTTCCTCTATGGGCTCTGGAATTTCTTTAAACATTGTATTTTGCTAGGGCCCTGAACCATCATTGAAGCGTAAAATGGAGGATAGAAAGGCGAGTTCGGATACTCCCTATGATCTGCTCCTCAAGCAACAACAGCTTTGTCTTCAGTGGCAGCTTGAAAACCAGAACAAGGTTCGTCACCAATGAAATCAATTTTAGTAGTTCAATCAAGCTATGCAGAAACAACATGTAAATAATAAAATCATTGCAAATGATAAAAGCTAAATTCATTGAGATTTAGTATATTCACATCGGGAGTGATGTCTTACTGTAGGGATTCAGTGTTGCTATAGTGAATAATAAAAAAAAACATCTGAGAAGTCTGATTTATTTTATCTTTATATCAAGGAGAATTGAATAAAAGAAGGGGGCGATAGGGTTTCCGTACACTTTGTTGTGACGTTTTTGGACTGCTGATGAACTAGTTTTTGCGTAACAACAATAACAAAGGCAGCCGATCTAATGTAAACAAACATCTAACGCGCCAGAAATGCCAGATGTCTGTTTATCATTTGTATTATTGTTTACAATCTTTATTATTGCTGTTACGCAAAAACTAGTTATTCAGCAGTCCAAGAACGTCACAGCAAAGTGAACGGAAACCCTATCGCCCCCTCCTTCTATTCAATTCTCCTTGCTTGATATAATGCAAGATTTGTACTTACTGTACTCGTTTAACGGAAAGGTTGTCTTTCCTTGTACGCTTTTCAGTTTTCTCTTTCTGAACATATAATTTTTATTTTCTCTTTATCTTGATTTAATCTAAATATTATTATAATTAATTAATATTATTTTGTGTTAAGTATCCCCAGATCCTGCTCCCAGCCACATCAAGGAACTCATTAATGTCAATTGGAAGCAGTACTTCACCTTCACTCATAGGTTTCATATTAGAGATTAATCGATCTTAATCATGGGGTCATGGGGGAGAGTACTTCTTGATTCTTGGTTTTCATATCTATATTATCACAAGTTTTTATATCAAATGCCCAAAAATATATATTTTCAGTCGCTGAGTTTTTTTTTTTTTTGGGGGGGGGGGGTGAAGAACTGAGGTTTTAATTTTATATTTTTGTTTGATTATTTGTTTTGATTTTTATTGGTTTAGGTAGTAGTAGTGTATCCTTAAACTCTGGTTCCCAGACAAGCAGTTCAGTTCCTTCTCCTGCATCTAGTATACCCAGTACACCTAGATCAAATACTCCTATTAGGTATATAATATATATATATTACAAGCTGGAGTGAATCGAATTTCAAAAAAGAAATAGATTGTTGAATATAAAATGTTAAAGAAAAAATATTTTACCCATTCGGTCCAGCTGTTTAGCCAGCTATAGCTTATAAGTATATACATATGAGCGAAGCGCTTTATTATATAAAAGATTAATATACTTTATTAGTATGGTGATAGGTATTTTACCAAATGCGACTTCACAAGTGAAGTTGCCGCTTGGGAAAATACCCATGGGAAGCTGCCGCTTGGGAAATTACCCATGGGAAGTTGCCGCTTGGGAAAATACCCATGGGAAGCTGCCGCTTGGGAAAATACTTATGGGAAGTTGCCGCTAGGGAAAATACCCACGGAAGCTGCCGCTTGGGAAAATACCCATGGGAAGTTGCCGCTTGGGAAAATACCCATGGGAAGTTGCCGCTTGGGAAAATACCCATGGGAAGTTGCCGCTTGGGAAAATACTTATGGGAAGTTGCCGCTAGGGAAAATACCCACGGAAGCTGCCGCTTGGGAAAATACCCATGGGAAGTTGCCGCTTGGGAAAATACCCATGGGAAGTTGCCGCTTGGGAAAATACCCATGGGAAGCTGCCGCTTGGGAAAATACCCATGGGAAGTTGCCTCTTGTGAAAATACCCATTGGAAGTTGCCGTTTGGGAAAATACCCATGGGAAGCTGCCGCTTGGGAAAATACCCATGGGAAGCTGCCGCTTGGGAAAATACCCATGGGAAGCTGCCTCTTGGGAAAATCTTAAAATTTGTTTATTTCGAAAATTGGACATCACTTAAAGTTACAATTGGTTTAATTCAGGGTTGGAAAACCCCGATTTTTCAATAAAAAATCCAGGCCAGTGGGTTTTATTTTTTGGGGGGTGGGGGAGTTTTATTGTTTTTTGGGAGGGTTTTCAATTTAAAAGAAGTTGAAACCTACAAAATTATTACAAATTTATAATTAAAAGAATACTGAAGCAATAGGGAAACTTTTTAGTTATGAAAAATAATAATATTGTTGTGATTATAGGCTATAATCATATATAGAAACAAATAATAAATAATACAATAATATCACCTCCCTTCTTCATAGGGGGAATACTGCAATTTTTCATATTATTGTTATATGAATTTCAGACTATTTTAAAAAGTGAACAGAATCAAAGTGTATTTTAAAAAGTGAACAGAATTAAAGTGTATTTTGAAAAGTAAACAAAATCAAAGTGTATTTCGAAAAGTTAATAAAATCCATCCAATATATTATAGCGAAAATATAAAAAACTGGTTTAAAAAATTAGTTCAAAAATCCCAATGGTATATGAGAAGTTTTGAAAACAATTATTTCATAATTAGCAAGCAAAGATAAGAATTTTTTATCTATTCCTATGTTTTAAAATAAAAACAAATTAATTTATTTTTTTTAAGATCTCTACTGCTGACCCCCCAGGATGTAAACCATGCAACCTCTCTCCTTAATCGGTTAGACGACATGAAGGTCAGCATTTTACGAAAATCTAAGGAATTAACAAATTAACATATTATTCTCGATAAATTAGATTTTATTTCAAAATGTTGGTGCAACACTAATTAGTGAATATAGATCTTGAAAAATCATTCAACTCTGCTAGGTTCAATATTTGATATAAGTGGCAAACTGTTAGATCATACAATTTAAATATTTTTTTAATTTTAAGATTTTCAAGTAAAACTACTTGCATGGAAACGAAAATTACGATTACGGAAATTAACCTAGAGAATAAAGAAAATGAAAGGATGGGGCGGGGTAGGGGTTTGAGGGCTAATGGATATGAGCATTACTAATATTACTCGTCTAATTTATTGCCGTGTTTCTATCCGAAGAAGGAAAATTCCGCAAATTATTGAAATATTTCCAAACTTTCTTCCTTGAAAAATAATTTTCTAAGGTTATTTTTTCTTNATATTTTTTACTTTAAGGCTTTATTTTGATAAATTTATGCCTTTTAGGTGGCTGAACTTAAGATGGAGTTAAAAAAGAGAGGGTTGGGAGTATCCGGCCCGAAACCGGTTCTCATCGACCGGCTTCGACCCATTTTAGAAGAAATCATCGCTGCCGGTCGTCAGCAGTTTCAGCAGCCCTACAAACAGATATCAATACCCCGGGGAGGATTAATCATCCTTAAACCATCTCCAAACTCTCAACTCCTCACCCGTCCTGAACCCAACAGTGATAATGTTCCTCATACCCCTCAATCCATGCATGAGGGTACCCCTGAGAGTGGGGAGGATGCCCCTATGACCCCTCTAGGAAGTGGACCTGGGACTCCGTTTTCTCCTGTTAGTATGATGTCTCCAGGGGTCCGGGAGGAGTCCAGTCCTCAGCTCCAGTCCATGGACCTAGATTTAAACCTTAACCTCATGGAGGCGATACCACAACTCCTGTTCAATTTGTTCCTCAGATGAAAACTAACCAGCAGATCCTGCTCGCTAAACAGCAGTTAGAATCTAGTTTGTCCTCGTCCTCTAGTTCCATCCAGCCTCCAGCTACGGTCAGAGCAGGGCCTAAGGGACAGTTTATCTGGCCTCCGGTATCTGTACAGAGTGCACAGGGAACTGTAACTATTAGAGCAAGGAATACTGTTGTCTCCTCTCAATCTGACCAACGGTAAGTCCAAACTGATATACAATAACCTAGCTTATAACATGCAGTTAGCAAGAGTTTTGCCCCTTCAAAACTGCTCATTATTTCGCCTAGTCGTCTCTGAATTACGATTTTCAATCTAGATATAGTTAAAAAATTAAAAATTATATTAATGCTTGGACTTGTTTGTAGGATGAGTAGCACACCGATAGCTCAGCTCGCTGCAGTATTCTCCCAATCTAGCCCTCAGTTTCCCTCTGGTCCGATTCATCTCTCTAATTCAGAACCCAACCTTCAACTCTCCCAATCCACCAACGAGGTTTACGCTAAAAATCCGGGAAATCTCAGATTCTCAAATATGGGAGATGTAGAGTTGAACCGGTCCGGTAGCTTACAGCTGCCCTGCAGTATTCAGCTGCCGCAGGAACCAATACCACCAGCTGAATTAGGTCTTGTTATTTCAACCAATAGTCTTACGTGCTCAATACCATCTACTTTTACAAACTCAAGTGTTGTGAGCAGTATAGCTGGAGTACAAGTATACGAGGTACCCGCAAACCAACTACCTGCCACACTACCCCTACCCTCCTCATCCACCAGCCATAGTCCTTCCAGTACACACAACAGTAATAATCAAACCAATGGCTTCCAAGTACATACCAGCTATGTACAAAGTTTACATAATGGCGTTGTACAACATGTACCCGGTGAAAATTTAGACAGTAATACAGTGAACAATCTTGATAATTTTAATCATGGGAATGGTTCTCATAACATTTCCCATAATGTTTTATCTCATGAACAAACAAGCCTACAACAACAACAACAACATGTTGATCAACAACTACAACAAGAATTACAACAACAACTACAACAACAACATCAAGTTCAATTAGATCAAAGACAAAGTTCTCCCGAAGAAGCACTTAAGGTAGATTTTAGTGTTTTGAAGTAAATTTTAGATTTTTTTATTGATCGATTGTTTAGTTGATAAATCGGTTGTGATGTTTTTTAGAAGAGAAATTTCACAGATAGGTCATTCCGCGGAGATTATATTTCATAAAAAGGAATTTTTATGGACAGGAAATTTCTTTTTTTCTATCTACGTAATATCCTTTCTATGAAATGTCCGATCTCTGAAATGTTCAGAAACCAGCTTGCTAAGATTCCGTTATCCATAAACGTCTAAAATGTCTTTAAATGTCTGTAAATGTCAATGTTTATAAATGTTATAATGTCTAGAAATGTCTGTAATGTCTATGTTTATAATGTCTATACATGTCTTTAAATGGTTAAAATGACTATAAATGTCTGTAATATCTAATGTCTATAATGTCTTAACAATTTCTATAAATATCTATTTTGCCTATAATGTTTATAAATGTCTATAAATATCTGTACATATCTATTTTGTCTATTATGTCTATAATGTCTATAATGTCTATACTTTTCTAATATGTCTATTTTATTTCAGCATACTGAGGATATTATTAAGCAGCAGCAGCAGCAAATTGAAGAGCTGCAGCGAGCTTTACAACGCTCCCAGCGGTTAGCTCAGCTGCAGATGCTCTCAGGACATCAATCTACAAACAAGAAGGTCAAAGATAGAATTAGTTTTTTTGATCAATTTTCTAACATTCAAAGATTTTTTTTAACCTTAAGGAGGCTTCTCATAAGTGTGTTCTCATAAGTGTGTTCTCATAGGGGTGTTCTCATTGGGGTGTTCTCATAAGTGTGTTCTCATAGGGGTATTCTCATAAGTGTGTTGTTCTCATAAGTCTGTTTTCATAAGTCTGTTCTCATAAGTGTGTTCTTATGATGTGTTCTCATAAGTGTGTTCTTATGATGTGTTCTCATAAGTGTGTTCTCATAAGTGTGTTCTCATAAGTGTGAGGATCTTGACAAATTTGGATTGGGGTTTCTTCCTACACTGATCTGCCAAATATATCCTCAACATTAGCCAGAGCTCCTCAATATATCACCGTAGATTGCACTTGCAGAGTATAATTAATTTGTTTATTTCACTAAATGTTTAGAAACTAATTAGCAATTAGTAGAGGGAGGGGGGGGGGGTGATAAAATCTAGTTTATTAATGAATTTTAAACTTCAGGTGGCTCAACATCTTCAAAAAAAGCAGATATCCAATCAGATTCAGCTGCTTCAGCAGCAGCTTAACAAGTCTCAGGAGCAGCAAGCTGCTGCAGAACAACTGCTAAACAACCAGGTAGAAATACATCAAACTCTCATTTCTTCAAATATCAATCCCATTGTTAAAGAACTTTTGAATCTGAAATTCCTTGCTTCGCCCACTTATGATTTTAGAATCAAAACTAGATGAGTTCAAAGGTAGCAAAATCGAACGAGTAATTCTGAAGCATATTTGATAAGTTTCGTAATTTCTAGATCGGGTTGTTAGTGTACTGTGTACACTGTTTACACTGATCTTAATTTAGATTGTTTTTCCCTATTTCTTAGAATTCTTGAACGTAATATGGTTTCAGCATTTTAAATTTTATTGGAAATCAATTCTGTCTTTTTTACTATTTTTACTCCAGAGCCCGCGATTTAAAAAATTCGGGGAAATACGGCTCGGGTCGTTGGACCTTATTTACGGCTTGAGCTTTCGGATTCAAGCTGCATCTTATTTTTCATCGAGTTGAATTAAAAAACCGGTTCAATATTCTATTTGGCGGATTTTCATGGTAGGAATTGGCGCATTCCCAGTTTTTACTCAACATTGAGCCTTATTCTCCACTGAAACCAACCAAGGTCGGTTTTATTTTCATTGGGCCCAACTCCTTAAGTCGAGCTGAAGATCTTGCACGTGACACAAGCTATCATTGAGTTGGGTCGAAGATTGGGTCTTAAAGTCGGGTTTAAGGAATTACGACTTGAGCCGAAGCTTTTAAATCGCGGGCTCAGAATTCTAAGTAATGAATTCCTTAATTTACTTCCTTTTTTTGCTAAGGAGGAGGAGGAGGAGGTCGAAAACAGAAACAATTAACTTTTTCATTTGATTCTGTCTTTAACCTTGAACAGAATATTCTGATCTATGTTATGTTGTTGTTTTTTTTGCATCATGAGTTTTTTAGCGAGGTCGGAATGTGCGAAACTGC